ACAAGTCTAGGGATTTATGGACAGAGACTTCACTCAAAAATGATGGCACGATGCTACCAGAGGTCAGCGAAACAACAATCATGGACAGACTGAGACTCAAATCATCTCAAACTCATGGATTTGGGAGATTCATCCCCAGACACGACTAATGGGACTGCCATAGGACTGCCAAGAAACGGCCAGGGTGGTTGACTGGGGGTCAATGGGGCGGCAGTCCTATGGCAGTCCCATTAGTCGTGTCTGGGATCTCGTTTATTTCCTCTTCCCCAAAGAGGCGATTGCTGTGCGCACGCTTTGGCACGCTTTGGCACGCCGCCGGTGGACAGGGAAGCTCCGATGCGTGCATGAGCTAAGCCGAAGCCGAAGCCGCAGGACAGCCGGAAACGCCTCATCCTCGACCGGACCAATGCCTCCTGTCTCAAGTTCTCTCAAATTTACAAAGTTGTTTCCTGTTTCCTACCAGGATGGTCAAACGTCTTTATATATGGTGGAAATATATATTCCCGGATTCCTATGGAATGGGTTGTCAATCAGTCAGTATTAGTCAGCATGATCAGTTTGGCCAATGAATGACGGGAAGAAGACAACCTTTTTGGGGCTTTATCACAAGGGAAGTGGCAGTGGTGGCCGTTCTGCTCCTGGAAGCACCTAAGAGCATCAAGCAGAAATCCACAGGGCACCCCAAAAGGAAGCACGCTGGATTGTAGGTATACTTTAGTTATGAAGTGTATATATATATATATTATATCATTGATATCATCATTAGTCAGTACATCATTACTATATTAACGATATGAATATTATATATATATATTTATTTATTTATTATATACATATTGTTGTATTATTACTATTCTTGCTATTACTGTAACATGTTTTACTATTTATACATATAGTTATATTTCATTGTCGTCATAGAGAAATGGTTCCTCGCTTTTGCCTGGGCCACGTCCGACAAACCATGACAAGCTGACCGACTTCCCGATGAGAGCACCACTGCTCACGTTATTTTAAACCTATTTCCACCCTGGGAGCATCAAATCTTGTCACAGCTGTCAGTTTCAATCACACCGTGCTGGTCGAAGATCCACCGTGCTAAACATGGCCCACTCATTCCTGAATAGCTCCTGTGGTGTGGTTTCACCACACATTTTGACTCCGCACCACAGGAGTTCCCTGTCCTCACAAAATGCCATTCCGGCGGATCTCGATGGCCTAGGTGTGCAAGGCAGACCGTGTGGCCTTCCTCAGTTTGGCCTTCAATCCCAAAAGCGCCGTGTGCATCCACTTTGCGGCCACCGCGCAAGAGTCGCTGGTCACGTAGTCGAGGAGCGGACTGGGCGACCGAAGGCGTCTGCTTTTGGGGTCAAACGGGGTTGGGGATGGGTGGAGATCCGTCGAGGTGTGAACCAGCACCCATCGCTGCCAGGTCTTAAATTCAGATGGTCGTTGAGGCCCTGTCGATTGGTGGACCTGTTTGGCTGGAACCCGATGACAACCTGGGGGTGAACCCTACTTGATGGTTTCCAGCATCCCCAAAGCATCCATGGCAAAGATGGTCGACATTTGGTGGTTTGGGGTGGTGTCATGCAAGCCATGTTGGCACCATGCAAGGTTTGGGATCTGGTTGCGCTGGTTGTGTACACAGGATCTGAAGGGTGTGAACCATGTTGGTTTCGGTAGGTGACGAACACTTCCAGACCCATCGTTTGGTGCTACCGGTCATGGCAGCTCCTTTCACACACCCTGGTAGGTTGACCTTCCTGGTCGTCCAATTCTCATGTTGGGTGTGTACACAGGATGGACTGACCCACAGCCATGGCACCTGATGTGCCGGATGTGCCAGTGACACCTCAGGTGTGAGGAGCGGGTGGCGAAGCGGACGGATCACCCGACCATCAAGTTTGGAGGGGGCCGTGGAGCAGTCAGGAGCATGCAGGACTGCTGGCAGCAGTGGGAGCAGTCAGTGCGGGTGGTGTTCTTTGGATCTTGTTTTTGGAGCTTTCCTGTGCTTGGTGGGCGTTGTTGCTGATTCGTGTAGCTTGATTAGGTATGTGGCTTGCTTTTGGTTGGTTTGGGTTTATGTGTTGAGTTCGAGTCCACCCTACCCTTCTCCATCCTTCTCCCCTTTTCAACTCCTCCAATCGCCTTGACTTCTTTCCCGAGCTCGCCGGCGTTTCTCTTGCTGCGGACGCCGCTGGGACGCTGAGGACTCGCTGGAGCTGCCGTCGACCGCAGAAGGGTTTGAGGAAGTCTTGACCGTGACGAGCTTTCAGGAGACGAATGCTTTCATGTCGGTGTTTGACGCGAATGGGTTGATATGAATCACTTAAAACGAAAACAATTGGACTGTCATGACTCATGAATGACCACTTCACCGGTGGTTCTATACATATGATACAAGAATCACATCCAACAAGAGGCAGGCTGTCATGATCTGCCAACTCCACGTGTTTCTCCCTTTCCGCCACCAAAGCCTTTGTTGGCACTGGGAGCCATGGGAAGCCATGGGAGCCATGGCCGACTCAGCATTGGTCCGAGCCTTTGTTGGGATGACTTTCGAGCCGGTGCAAGGAGGCCGAACATTTGCTGAAGTGCTATGGTGCTGAGGCACCGAAAGTGAGTGAGACACGGAGACCAGAGACAGTCTGAGCTACTGAGATTGACAGAGGAAGGCAGAGACGGTGCAGATGACATTGGTCCTTGGATGGGAGAGATGGGAGATAGCTGTTTGCGGGGTAGACACAGTCTGTGGTGATGCAACATGACGTATTCCAGACCTTTTGGAGCATGAATGGTGCATGTGACATGCAGCTTTGGGAGCTGAGCTGAGCTGAGCTGAGCTTGCGAAGACGACCAGCATCAGTAGCTCTTGACATAAGTCCTTGCGGTTTCAGGTGTCATGTTGGGGTGTCCCACGGCCGTAGTACATTGACGTCATCACGATGTCGTCAAAACAACAAATAACTCGTTGAGCTCTCGAAGACCCCGCCTCCCGTTGGAAGCGTGCACTGCGGGTGTGAAGCACGTTCTGAGGTCCCATGGGCTTCTTCAAGTTCCCCACCACACCACATGCCGGGAGACCTCAGCTGTTTGGCCGTCCAGCTGCCAACATCGGGCACCTCCTCGTCCTCCGTGTTTCACGGGTATAAAGACATATAAAGACCATTATCATTAAACAATGGTGGTTGGAATTGCAGGGGAGAAGGGTGGCGGTGGCGGTGGCCTCACGGTCTTGCGAAAAGGTGGCCTGATTTCAGCACCCCCCGCTTCGGAGAGATGCTCCGACAAAATTGGCTGTTCAAACACGGCTAATCTCTTTTGGAAGGTGAGGGGGGGGTGACCCCCGGAACAAGGTCACGTGACGAGGTTTGGACCTTCGCCCATCCCCATCCAGACAAGGAGACCCACATGATGAGACTCCACAGGACCAAACACCCCGTAAGACCCCAACCAACCGCCCCAATTGAGAAGGTCCATCGGCCAGGGAAGGAACCCATATATGAAATCACTCCAGGTCCAGGTCCAACTGTCCCCCAACTCGCGCACCAAGAACTGTTTCGAATCCGATCAGGTGGAGGCAGGATTTCCAGAGTCCCATCTGGCCCCCCCCTCAATTGACTGGAAGAGATGCTCACCCTCTGAAGCCAAAAGGCGAATCCTTTCTTGGGAGATGGAGTCAGGTCCCAACTGGCAGACTCTCCCAACGACATCTCCCAACATCTCCATGTTCCTTTCGCAAATACTGAATCCACAGTCTTCATGCAGAGATTCATGGTCTTCATGCAGCACATGTCGCAACAGACTATCCCCATTGACCGTCCCCGTCCCCTTTGGTGGGGAAATGTACACCCGAATGCGCTGTGGCTGAGATCTTGGACCTAACCAATGGCAAGGCCTTGACCGAGAGCGACCGGCTCTTGAGCGAGAAGGACCGGCTCTGGGGAGAAGGACCGGCTACTGTTTTTGAGTGATGGAGCCTCAAGGATAAAGTCAGAGCAGGTGAGAGCCACGCTAGTTCCAGCAACCTTGGGCGATGCTCCACTACATGTTTGTGAACCAGCTTCAGTATTTTCGTGATGTGAGCAAAGACACCTCCAATAGCGGGCGAAGAATGAGGACCCCCCTCTCTGCCCGTATGAATCTTAAGCATCAAAGGCAAGGTCCGAATATGTCCGAATCACAACTTGGATTTTCTGCATCAGACGTTTGAGGGACCTAGTTAGAACTCCAGCACCTTTTTCAATTGCTTGGAATCCCAGTCAATCAACGTTTCATCACTCGATCCCACCAATTTGGTGGGAGAACACTTGCATGTCATCACTTGCATGTCTTCCGACCTGCCCAAACCCTAGAAAGCTGCTCCAAACTCTTCGTGACACCCCCAAACTTCCGTGCCCCTCGTGCCCCAGAATTACGGCCTCTCCGGGGTTTCGCCGCGCCGCGCGACGGACGTCCCAGGAGGCCCAAGAGTTCTTTGCGCCTCGGCTCTCGTGGGCTGGGCATCTCTGTCAGATGAGGGATCTGGAAGATGATGGGCTCCAGAAGCCCCGAAGGTCCATCAACCACCCCTAGCCATGCCAAGATCCCCACCTGTATTTGAAGATGGAGTATGATGGAATACCTTGGGCTAAGGAGGATGAAGCGGTGAAGAGCCTTGGGATCTCGGGGTGCTGAGCTGTTGGTGGAAACAAAGCATTTCAGGGTGTGAGAACAGTCACACAGATCGGCAGAAGCAGGTCTGGTGTGCCCACTAGGGGGATGAGGTTGATGGCTCATTTATGACCTACCAAGAGAGGTTAAGAGACCGTAAATTAGGACCCGTCACCTGCGGTACCTAAAGGATGGACGAAGAGTCGGGTTCTGACCCACCTCTGCTGGTACCTTCAGAATCTGGACCCTCCGATGGAAAAAGAGATGGTTCGGGGTGGAAAGAGAAACCCCTTTCGGTTCAGTGGCGGTGGTCTGATCATCAAGAGGTCACGGTCCAAGGGTCAGAGATCAACGAGACTTGTGGCTGGGGCACTGGTCAGCTTCTCACCTTGGTTGGCCACAGGTCCAACGAACGGAATGGACTATATCACTCCAAAGGTCCACGTTTCCCTGTCCTCCCCTGCTTTTGGGTCTCATGCTGATCCACCTGGTGACTCCGTAAGACCAAAAACCACTTCCGTTCAAAAAGACTCGGACCTGGTTCTTCAAAGTGACCCTTTGATAACCTGGTTTGAGGTCACTTAAGTCTCTCAAGGGTCACTTAGGAACTTTCAAAAGGTCACTTTGAAGAAGCTGGGAGTTCTTTTTTTTTGGGGGGGGCGACCTCCACGCGGCAAGGGCACCTCGGCTACCGCTGCCACCGCTGCCGCTCGGAGGCTTGATGACCCTTTCAAGCCGTTTTGGGACACGAACCAACTGAACCCCGAAGCCAGCAAGGGCAACAACCCGCGAGGCATGAGTTCGCAATCGAGTGAAGCTCCAATAAATGAGGTCCATGTGAAAGTAAGTGATTCTTCAACAGGATGATGCTAATGTCGGCCGATTTTCTTAAACCTCTAGACTCTAGATGATGAAATCACAGGGGCAGCTGAGCTGGACATTCTTCGGTTCACCTCGCAACTCCCAGTGCTTTCAGACAGCTTCAGCATCATGATTCATGTATTTCTCTTGGCGATGGCGGCTGCCCAAGAAGGCATCCTTCAAGAGGTCCAGGACGAGGGTTGCTTGCCTGGCATGCAGATGCTTCAGCGAAGCCTGACGCCTCAGTCTGCGCAAATCACCCAAAAGGTAGACTTCTTCAACTTCCAGGAGATGCTTTCCGACCAACCCCCAGGCTCATTCCTGGCTGCTATGGAACCCTTGGTGTTCGCCAACACTTTGGTCTACAACACAACAAGGCTGCGGCAGAATGGCATGTGTTGGTATGGCGATATTGGAAGATGTTGGAACATGTACTCCAATTCACTAACATGGAAGTGGACAATGGCCTTTGGGAACGCCGTGCTTCTGTTTCAGTGGTCTCTTAGAGGACTCAGTTCTACAGCTGGGATTCGTCCCTTCAAACACATTCAAAAACCCTCTCATCACCAGTCGTCGCCAACTCCTTTCTGTGTAGTGTCTCGCTGACTCCTCGCTTTCGAAAAGGGGCCTTCGTTCTGGAACCACCCTGTGCTCGTAGAGGAAAGACCGAGTCTTCCCCCGTGGCCATGCCATCCACGTAACCTTGTGATGTGTTCGTCAGAGTGTAGGCACTTCACTGCTCGGCTCTGCCGAAGGTTCCGCGATCCTAAAGGGTTGGAAAACGCAGAGAGAGAGAGAGCGACATCGTGCCATGCGAGGTCTACAGATATGTACATAGTACAGATACAGACAGATGCTCATTTTATGTCGTTTTTGAATGCAACATTACAAATTAGATCAAATTAGTTATAACATGTTATATATAATTATATATATACACATTATGTCACATAGTTTATACAAAGAACCATCCCGGAGTAGATGGAATGTGAACAAACAACGATAAATAGATTTGTTTGTGTGATCCCCACCTTCTGACATGACAGTCTTTCTGGCATTCTATTTGGCATATCTTGGCATTCTACCGGACACAAATTCTGACATCCTTTGTCGCATTCTACGTGGCATGTTTTCTGTCATTCTATTGATTGGCATTCTATTTGGCATATATTCTGGCATTCTACTATACCTTGCATCTTGCATATCTTCTAGCATTCTATCCGGCATGTCTTCTGACATGTTTTTCTTTTGTGGCCTATCTTATGACATCATTTTTGGCTTTGTATCTGCTGGACGACAGCTCATGGAAATGAGACACAGCCTGAATTAGGCTGTTTTGCTCATTCAAGTAGGCGGAGCAGTTTCATTTTGAACTTTTCTCAAGCTCTGAGGATGAAGAAGCTTCGGGGATTTGATTATGAAACGGCGGATGGCATTTTGAGGTCGATCTGATAAAAATTAAAAAAGGGTCGGATGAAGATGGCGTGTGCCCCACCTCTCTCCACCTGCAACCCCCTATTCTTACACACCATGCACATGTGGTAGTGATGTTGTAAGCCAGATGAGCTCAGCCCTGTTTGTATACTTGACTGAGTCACAACTGGCACACCCCATCCTTGTCCCGTCCATCGTTGACAGACACTGACCTTGCAATAGGAACAAAATAGCGCTGCGCTGCCGTAACTGAAGGAAGTTTCCGACAAGGTGATGTTCTCGGCTGCTCAGACTCACTCACGCTTATCGCATGTTGCACCCTCCAAGATTGTGAACTAGAATGTTTGACAACGGCCTGCGTCTTGAAGGTTGCAGATTGCGTCGCAGAGGCATGGGCGAGACATGGGGGACCTTTCGTGCAACCCAGCCGCCCAGATTCTATTCCAGGTTCGTCTCCTCATGCGTGGCTTCCACGTTCTTGTATGATCATCAGTCCAACTCACTTGCGTCAGAAGTTTGTTGCGCAAATTGGCATCGCTTCCGCGCCCGGCAGGAAAAAAACACTCGAGGAATCTCATATTCTGAACGTATGGTTGTTGGAAACCCACACTACGAATGCCAAACACATCTTCAGGGCACACTTTGACCATTGTGGCTTTGGTTTTGTGATTTGTCCGTGCTCTATCAACTCCAGGCTGTCTATTTTACGAAAGCCAGCCTTCGTAGAAGGCGCCAGCTGAGTTGTGTTTGGCGAACGAAGTGAGTAAGTAGGGGGTCTGGGGGGGGTGGCCCGAGAAACCCCTACGTAAACTCGAAATTAGGTGGTGTTTAGGGGTGCACGGAAGCAAGGTTTTGGAGGTTGTTTTGGAGGTGATTCTTTGTGATTTTTGAGCGGGTGGTGATGTAAGAAATGCAATTTTTTGCATTTGCATCATCTGCATGGTAAGGTGTAGTTTTACCGAGGCCAATGTGTTGTAGCTTGGTGCAGCTGTGAGTGCATAATCTCTTACACACCTACAAAAGTCAAAGCACTAATGAGACTTCAAAGCTGTGGATTGCTGCACGTTTCTCAAGGTTATCTAGCGGCTTAGGGAAAGGGAAATTGAAGTGCTATACCTGGCAACATGCTGTCTTTGGCCAACCACGTGCTCGTTGACAAAAAGCGCTGGCTTTCGTCTTGCAGCTTCTCAGGTTTATGTGCATGACATGCGTGTACTCTTGGTAAGTCCTGGGCAGCCAGGAAGGTGTGGGTGGATTCTTTTGAACGGTTGAGGAGTGCGGTGGAGTGGTTGTTCGTAGGAGCGCCGCGATTGAGGCCTCTCTATCAGATGGACGTAGATCTGCTGGATAGGTTCATAGCTGGAGATCGAGAATGGCACCGGCTGAGACAATTTGATCGAGATCCCACGCCGGGCGGTGTTTTTGCACGGGTGTTTTTGGAACCTCAAAGCAAGACCGTGCTGGTGGCGTTCAAAGGCGTTTGTATGAAATCAGATTTGGAGCAATGTACTCTGGATTGGTGCTTCCTGAAACGGGCCAGAGCCTATGGTTCCGTGACAGATGGGCTTGCAAGCGGGTTTGGTGCTTCTGACGAGGTTTGTGACAAGTACGCGCGCGCCAACATGTTGCAGTTCACTCAACAGGCTGATACCTTTGTGCGGCATGTGCAAAAAGAACTGCCCGATCATAGCATGACCTTGAATCTCGGACGGCTAAAGCAGGTGTTTTCTTTCGATGTTGTTTTTCCAACTTAGGAATGGTGCCTGGTGCCTCAACCGGGAGCTGGAGAAATGTTGAAAACGTTGTGACCAACCGACCAAGCTAAAAGTCTCTGGTTCGAGACGCTCAGGAGGGTTGTTTCATTTTTGTTGGACTACGAAAAGACTACTCGGTCAACAAATTTAATTTGTATGCGGGGTTCCTGGAATCATCGTTTTGATGCACAAGTTGCATTATCTGTCAGCCGCAGAGGACTGGACACTCCTTGGGGGGGGCTGCTGTCGATTGTCACAGCTGCTCGTCAGCCGGATGTGCTCAAAGCCATCACTTTTGCACCATCACCATTCCATCGAATCTTGAAGGAGGACTGGAAACCTGGTCCGGCCAATTCCCGAGCTGAAGCAAGTGTCTTGACCCGAAACAGGTGACCCAACGGATTTCATTGAAAACATGTTTCAAACCTGGCAGATGGATTGGTCGTCCCACAGCTTGGTTCCTTGAAGAGAAATCTAGCTACATTATGTTACATTCAGGGTGCAATCCGAACTGCCTACAGAGGTTGATCTGTACCACTACAAGTCACTACAGATCAACCTGTTCAGGTCTCTCAACCTCTGGTGGATATGAAACAAGAACTGACAACCTCCTACAGGACTTGAAGTTTTCGGATGAGCAGATCGACGCCCTGAAGGGAAAGGACTTGGTCGCGACGTGCGACGCCTTCGACTGCGGCATCAACTCGGTCTATGTCCAGCAGGCCCGTTTGGGCGCCAAGACACTTGGGCCAAGACTGGTTGATGGAATCCACAGAAGGTAGGGCTCCTGCCCTACCTCCGTGTCCTCCATTTTGTTCAGCGCTTGGGGTGGGTGCCCAAAGTTGCTTCGAACACGAAGGGTGCTTGGAGGAACATCTAAGGGGTACTCCACTCTTGGGATTTTGGACCATCCACCAGCAGGGAGACCCTTCAGGGCCTTCAGGGCCTGGTGCACCTGGTGCTGGAGTTGTGGATGTGATTTTCCTGAATTGGGGCAATCCCCTAACTAACCTGGAGAAATCTGGGGAATATGTATATTATATGTCTTCCAGGTTCCGAACCAGCCAATCCAAGCCCACCGGCCCACCAGCTGGCTTTTTTCAAGGGAGGTTGAACTTGGAGGCGCATGGCATGGCTTCCTTCGCATGGCGCAACGGGTTCAGTCCAGTCGACTTCAGTCGAGTCTGTTTAAGACGTGACGTTCAGGAACTATTGGAACACCCTCGCAAAAAAAAGATCAGTCGTTGGTCTCCTTCTGGGGCAAAAAACAGTGGTTTCAGAGCAGATACATGGGGTTCATATATAAACCAACGACTTCTTGGGGTTTGTGCCATCTACTCTCACTGTAAGTGGACGGATCCTTCTTGCCTGAGGACATGCCTCTATTTGAAGCAGGAGGAAGAGCCATCCCCCTGCAACAGATTGGGATCCAAACCCTACGAGAGCAAACATTGGCGAAAAGCCTTAACTGCGGATCAGTCTGATCCAGTGGCAAGCAGTCAGCAAACCATCTCCAACCTGATGTGCAAGTCTGATGCTCATGATTCCAGGCTTGGCTATGATCATAGAGCTTTTCTATTAAAAACACGTGGAATTCACTGGAGTATTCGGAGTTTCCCTGTTCAAACAGAGGTTTCCCCGTAGACTTTTTTGTAGACAAATCCTATGATTTGTTTGTGATCGGTTGAACTGTTTCGAATGTAGGGATTTATTTGTCGTTTCTCGCAATGTTCCCGAGAAGCATGCCAAAAGCTTTATCATGGTTTTAACACAATTATCTGAACATTGAACATCATCATCGGAAAAGACCGCAATGAGCACACACACCAAAAAGTCCCCCAGTTAGCACATGGGGAATCTGAAAAAAACACATTGCCTCCGAAACAACCATCAGCGTTTTTGGAGGGTCCCAGCAGAGGTGGGTCAGAACCCGACTCTTGGACCATCCTTTAGGCACCGCAGGTGACGGGTCCTATAAGATCTATAAGGTCTCTTAACCTCTCTTGGTCTCCTTCAACCTTTCTCACCCGGCTGGCCCGAGGAGTGGGCTCGCTACTCGAAGATGGTCTTGCAACGCTCCGCAGACGGCTCACCGGCGAACCTGCCGGTGTGTAGCAGCGACTATAGCGTGCTGGAAGGCCTTCAGCTGGGCTGATGGGCCAAGCCCAAGAGGTCCTGCGGCCGAAGCATTGGTCGAAAAGGGCCTGCGTGCCTGACCGGCGGAGGGTGGTCAGTGACGCGCTTGGAAGATCGAAGAAAGGGCCGCGCAGCATGGTGCAAACATCGGGACCCTGGCAAACGGTCCATTTTTGGGACGGTAGTCTCATCCCACACGTGTGGCAGGAGAAAATCATCATGAGAGCTACTTGGAGAAAAAGACAAGTGTGGTGTTCCTTTTGCAGTTGGACATGGTGGAGATGAAGATGAGCCTGCGGCGGGTCAAACATGGGCCATGGGCCATTATCCCAGAACGAGGGTCAGTTGATATAAGTTGGCCCGATTGCCAGATGAACATCTACCAGAACATGTATAGCGTTTGTAATCACTGTAACCAGTACCAATCTGGAAGGTGCTGGCTAGGCCGACGTCCGCGAGTGCGTGTACCGGAAGATCTGGTTCTTGAGACGCACGTCCACGTTCCGGCGCGCTTCCTGGCGGTCAAACCCAGGAGGGGGGCTCCTGAGGTTCAGGCCCTCTAGAACCGACCTTTACCCCAAATCTGTATGTGTTTTTCTTCCCTCTCCAAGCAGCGGTCATATCAGTGGATAGCGGGATGCGCACCATGCCGCATGAGCTGAGGATGGGAAGACGACCATCATCATGGAAGAGAAGATTGATGGCGCAAACTTGGGAATCTCACTTACCGAGGCATAGTTGCACATGGCCTGGATATAGAGTGAGGGAGGATGAGGGATCTGTCTGGCTCTGGGTTGGACTGCGAGGCATGTGGGTGGTTTGATGGGCAGATGGGCGGGTGGAGGGTGAGCATACCCGATATCACAGCATGTCACAGGTGGAAGGTGATGTGCAGTGAGCATGTCCTATGGGGCTTCCAATGGGTGCACTGTCTGGAGACCTATTTATACTTATATAGCTTGTCCAGCTAGGTGACCCCATAAGGAAGCATCTGGTAGACCAGGTCCAGTGTCTATGTCATGATAAACCCATGTAATCAATTCAGGACCTTCTCCTTGACTGTCAGGACCTTCCCTGACCAAAATACATACTAAGTCTAGACCCCAAGTACGGGCAGCCGCACCGCTTTTTGAGCTGCTCCCAATGGCGTGCCCCACCGGGATTTTTGGTGAGGACAGCTATGAGCCGCTCTACCAGAATCGGGCACACTACGTCTCCAGCGGATATGCCACGCAATGGAAAGCCTTGGACAGCTGGTGGGAGGAACATGGCTGGGCCATTTGCCAACTCTTAGAACCCGAGGCCACGACGTCCCGGCGTGCGTATGTGGAGGATAGACCAGGCTCAAAGACCAGGTTGACCAAGGCGTGGGACACTTGACCAATCACCCGCGACGTCCCGGGCGACCCATTCCTTTCCCTGCGATTACCGGGTCCGCTGTGAATCTCGCTGTTATGGCAGGATGGTTTGCCATGTGTGACATATTTACCTGGGGTGGTTTGGGGGAGGGGCATAGATGTAGGCATAGTTGTATTCCATACATGGATGGTCTGGGTAGTTTTGGCTGAGTTTCTCCTTCGGGGTTCGACCGGACCTCCACCTCTACAGGGCTCAACACCTACAGTGGGCCCTTGTGAACCGTAAAATATGTTTTTCATTGGTAAATATCTTTATAAACAAGCCAGTCCCCTGGAACCTTTGTATATACAATTTCAGATCTGGAATCTTTATCATGGGTAAATATGCCAGTCCCTCGGAGTGTTTGGGAATGGAGCCCATTGCAGTTCCTCGTGACATGTTCCTGTATGGAGTTTGACATCCATTTGACATTCCAGCAGAGGTTGAAGAACCCTATAGACTATCCTATAGGTACCCCAGTAAGGTCCTATAATAAGGTCACTTAACCTCTGTAGGTTTTCTGAGAGTCTCATGGTGGCTTCATGTCACATCCGCGTGGAAGCTTGGCCCCGACTCAACTCATCTCCACCGGCGTTTTATCCCGAAGAACTCACACCTCCCACCGTCCCCTCTACACGTCCCCCCTTTCCAAGTCCCCTCCACAGTCTAGACTCGCAGGTGGAGGTGCTCTTCGGCGAGTGGCTTTGGGCGCGTCACAGCGTGGCCTATACCAAGCTTCCGGCCTATTTCGTGGCCTTTGACATTTACAACAAACGCCAAGGCGCTGTTTGGCATCGTCCGGCGGGAACGGCGCGTGCGGGTAGTCCGGGTAGTCCGGGCAGTCCGGGCAGCGGCGCATTGCCTGGGATTCTGGGGAATGCAAAGTCCCCTTGACGTCTTGGTTCAGGACAATCTCTTACATCACAGCCGATGTCTCATTTGCTTACCAACATAGCACCCTGTCCAAGTAGAAAGCATCCATTGAAGAGGGCCTAGCAGGTTTGCCATGTTTGTTTGAGGACAGGCACGAACTGATAGAAACGTTGTTTTCTTATAAAGCAATGTCATTCCCTCCTTGACCCAAACGACTGACCAACAGACCCTGTCCAGGACGCTTCGTGTCAGTCCGAGAGCGCAACCGGCGTTTGGAGGGCCTGGATATCCCGGTCACTCGGTGAGAAGACCAAGTTCCCTCACTGCGCAGATCAGGAGAGCCCCAGGTCAGCCAAGTTCAAGAGACAATCCAAGGACCTGGAGATATGTTTTGCTCACTTCTGCTCTAAAAAACAAACATCATCAAACATCACCATAAGTCAGACGATTATATAAATCTTGGTGCATGCTCCAGCATGTTCCCACCCACCTGGAGATCCCAGACTTTCCACCTGGTGCAGCAAGCAAACTGGTACTTGTATGGCGCGTTCACGGGACCTGACGACTCACAGATTGATACGCCTTAGTGGATGTGGACCGAAAGCCTGCTATCCCTATTCAAATACTTCAGGAGAAAGACAGTTTGATTAGCAGTTTCTCTCCAGAGTGTCCTTCCAAATGGGAGTCCGGTGGAGAGGAGTCATGGGATTGTAAGGGGAAAGGGCTGCAGGTCATGTCGTTACAAGCTTCTCACCAACTTTTGTCCATGTGTACATGGACAACCACATACCCACGTGCCGATACAGAGGTCGTTTTTTTCCGTGTGTTTCCCGGGGCAGTTGAGTTGTCTTTTTTGCAGACGCTCCATGGGAATTAGCCGATTGGCCCATGAAATTTTGGATCATTGGTTTCAGGCATCAACCTGATCCGGCATATAATATATTACTGTATCCCCCACATATCCCCCACATGGACCTGTTGTGCTGTTTCCAAAAAAGAGGACCCCTCCACCGGTCACCTCACTTCTTTTTCGGTGGATCCTGCCGGCGAAGCCCCGCCCCGTGCCGCTGCTTCAGCCCTCCGGTGGGGGGGGGCAGCGGATCTCAGGTCGTGCCACAACTGGCCGAGCGGAGCTTTGCGAATCGCCAGGAGCTTGAGGCGAAGCGATCGGAGCGGGTCGCTGAAAAAGGAGGAAGCCGAGGTGGCGGTGGCGATCGGAGGTGGAAGTGGAAGAGGAATGAACACGATGTTCCAAAAAGATACATCTATTTGGGAGTAACTGATCTTTGTTGAAGGTTTCCATCATATCTATTTGGGGAGCAACTCGTATGTGGGTGTATATATGTTCCGAAAGCCAGCCGACAGGCCAGGCTGAAGTTAGTTCATGCGAACGAAGTGAGTCTTTGGGGGCTGTGGGGGGGCAGACCGGGGGAAGTTCATGTGAACCGACGGTAAAGTTAATGTAAACCACGTTAGCCGTTAGCCTGCTGGCGTTTATGGATTGCCAAGAATTGGATTTTTTGCGGGTTGGTGATGTAGAAGATGCACAATGACTGAGGTAACATTACTTGCAGTATTGTCACACTAGAGTAGACACAATGCACCTTTTAGGTGACACATGCATGTGTATGGAATAACATTCGAAACATGGCGGGCAGAAACCATCAGACACACCAGCAACCCTATAAAAACAGATAGAAAAGTAAAGCCCTACTGAGAATGTATTGGATACTGTTTCAATTCATCCAGATCAACTCTACCTTCTCGGCGTGAACGAAGCCTGAGTGGAAAGCACTTCGCAGGATTGATGGGGTTCCCATCTCCCCACCACAAAACAGACCTGAGCTTCGCCCCGCTTCGCGCCTCGCGTCTGTGAGCTTTTTGGCAAATCGAAAGGGACATCGTGCGGTCCATTTAATATAACGAAAGCATGGCCCACAATCCCGTGTGGCCTGTCCAATACCTAAGCGTTTGGCCACTCGAAAAAAACTTCGCGGGGAGCTGGGGAGCTTTCATTGCGAGCCTGCATGCAAGCGCCGAACAGCTCCTGGGAACCCTGTGATATCGAAAAGCAACAAACTATTATATACCAGCAGTCACAAAGGGGTGCCTATTGGAGGAGGATAGGGGTGCCCATTATCCACTCACTTAGGGACAAAACACCACCCCTTTGTGACCCCTGGTATATTGATCCGAATTCGCCTGAAGACTGGTCGCCCCACTTCGCGTCTCTCGCGCCCTTGGCACCCACCTCCCGCAGGGTTTCTTGGAACGCACGTCAGCCTTCGGCGAAGGGCCTTTGGAAGGCGTGTATCTTCGCATCGAAGCTCGGAGGAGCACGGGTTGAAGCAGAGGAGACACCGTGGGAAGATGGCAAGAGGGGGAGAGAACGGGATTCAAGAAGAGGGATTCAAGATGGCCGCCAGTAGACCAGGCAGAGCCCTGGACAGCCATGAGATCGTTTCTGGGTCGCTTCAACTGGTCACTGGCTGGGATCTGAGGTTCGTTCCGTGGACGAAATACGGAGGATGGCCTTTGGAGGATTTGCGTTGGTGAATGTCCGATGAATTTCGATGCTCCCTGGAGTCGGGCGCAGCCAGTATAAAACACAGATACCAGCAGTTCCAGGAAGGGTTTTTAGTCCGCCCATCCGGTGAGTGGATCATGGGCACCCTTATCCTCTAATTGGCACCCTTTTGGAACTGCTGGTAGATCCATAATGCGAAAATTGATGCATTCCTCCCTTACTCCAACTTACCTACCCTTGGCTCCACTCACTCGGCACTGTTGGAACGGGCATAGTACTGTTTGGAGGACCCGAGATTCGGAAGTGGCAGTCACAGGCTCGCCGTTTGTCTCGTCACCGAAATGTGTGTCCTTTTTGGGTAGGTTTGATTGATTGGAGAAGATACGAAGATATTCTCAGACCCATGTATGGAATCGTTGCAGATATGTGCACCATGTCTGACCCCAATGTAAATTGCTATAGATTCCATATGTATATGGATGGTTTGGGATTGGACATTGGTGAGAACCAGCAACCTTATGCCCCAAACGTTCTCAAGCAACCATATCCAACCATCAGCCCAACAGCCTGCGCCGGGGTGGCCCTTCTAGTAGACTGAGACACCCTATCCCAGGGCGCCCTTCCCACGGACTCCAAAACAATTTCCTTTGGTTTTCTCTGAGGATGAACCAGTCTCTCAGGGAGGAGGTCTTTGGCACAAGCGCCGGGGCAAGTGGCTTGGTTGATGGCGTTGTGTCAGTTGAGGCAGGCTACCAATGGCAAGAAAAGCAGACCAAAAGGTCGAGTTTGGGAGTTACACAGGCGATGAGACCTAGGGGGGAGAATTCTTCTCCAAGTGGCAGGCCGATATCTCTGAGAGTTGACCTGGGGACAAGGGGAGGACACCGCTTTTTTCTAGCAGGTCAATCTTGGGGGACACCTCCCAGTTCGACACCCTGCAGGAGTGAACATGGACCAAGACTCATTCGCAGGCACTCCACCCGCGAATTGCAACCACCATTTATATTTAATAGATTTCACCGAACAATACTGTTTTACACTAACATGGTCACCCATGTTTAATCAGTCTTACTTGGAAGACTAGGGTCCATGTTTGGCATATCTGCCCACATTGACCCAGGTCAGCCAGTTTGCAGGTAAATCTGCCAGTCCTGTCGTGTCCCTCCGCGCAAACTCCACTTCTCATCCAGGATCGTGCGGAGCGATTTCATCCAGACCATCCAGGATGGAGGTCATTGGATCCATAAGGATGTCGAGAGGAACTCTTTAGCGTATTGAGGGCGTAAAGAGCTGCGCCAGCTCTTTTGCGAGCTGGGAGGACAATAGAGCCAAAACCTATTTCGCAGACTTGACCCTCTTGAAGCGTGCCTTTTTTCGAGGCTCTTTTCGGAGGTGCAACATTGTACAGTTTGGGTTTGGAAGACCCCCTGCCCTGAAAGGGCCTGGCATTATCCTTCGCCTCTTGACTTTGAAAGAGGATGAAAGAGGTGAAGATGGATGAAAAGTCCTTGCATCACTGGTGTTGGTCAAACCTCGCCCGAGTTTCTTGTCAGACTTGTCAGGTATATGAGATTCAACCACCAGGATACCTAGGTGGATCGACCGACGGCCACGATGCAAGAACGAAAGCTTCCAGGTACCTTTCGTGCCACTTGTACAGGCAATGATCATGCAGAAATGAGCAGGCCGAGCTCCAATTGACGTGTTCGCTTCGCAGTACTGTTTGCTGGACCAACAGGACCAACCAGTTTTCACGGTGATGAGGACGGTACTCAGGCTGCAGTCTCTAGGCAGACCATTTGGCAAGCACCTCTTCAGACGTAGGGGGATTGTTTTATTGCAACACCTTTAAGGTTTTGGGAGTTCCAACGTTTCGCTGCGCCCGGAACTCGTGCGCGAGTTCCGCTCGTTCGTTGGGGGCTCGGAAGTGCTCGGAGGATCTGTTGGAGCCACCGCGGTGTGTGGCGAAACCGACGCCGAACAGCCCTGGACTCGCCAGGCATACCTAGGGATGTGGCCGTGCCGCCGTGGCCCTCGTTTTCTCCAGTTTCTCAGGATTGCTCTTTGCATTGAGCATCTATAGCCAAATCTCAAAACTAATTAATTAGGACTATATAGACCCCATCAAGACAAAATAGCGTGCAAGTGGATGCTCACTCCCCAAAACAAGACGCTCAGCAGATGTCTGATGGAACGGAACTTATGAAATTCTATACATAACTAGTCCAGAGGCCAATTGGTATCAGGTGGGGTAGTCTTCCTCCCAGCAGTATGTACATGCATGTACAACCCACAGCCTCCCAAGCTGACCTGTGATTCAGATTGTGTCATTCTTCTGCAGAAGATGCGTCGCCTGAACGGACCAGCTTTATCCCGAAACAACTCCTGCCGGCGCACCCGGTATGTGAAGCGCCATGGTGAGCTATGCTGAGCTGCTTCTTTTGGGACTCCCGGTCGCTGGTCGGCCTGAAGCGCCGAAAGAGGCGCCCCCAGCCCCAACGGAGGCTGCGGAGGGGGGGAACATGCTGAAGGAAGAGACGTGAAAAGCATTGTGTTACTGACTGATCGGGTGAGAAATTCAGTATGTTCTGTCCGCTGGGATTATGGGATCTACTCTACATGCGGGACGTTTAACAGTTTGATTGATTCAGTTTGACACAAAGGAAATCGTCTACCAAGTCTTTTGATTCTAACAAGCAAAGTAGTGAGCTGGACACCCACATGTTAATTCTCAATTGCCATTTCTCAGTTGTTTCTTGTTTGGCAATCACTCTTTACTCGGTCTTGTCACATGTACTGATTCTGGCAGAGTCCCACAGAGTCCTCTCCCCTCCAGGATCCTCGCGCCGATGCCAGGCCGCGAGCCTTGTTTTTTCTTCGCGTGCGAAAGGAACCGTCGCAACGACCCCACTGACTTGCCTCGAAAAGACTCAGAGCCGGTTGTTGGCGTATGAGAAGATTTCCAGAGCTCCAGAAATCCAAAAATGGGATCTGTCCATCCCTATGTTTTGGATGAAGCAACATCAGAAAACCCACTTGGCAAGACATGAGTGGGGCCCCGAGTGGGGCACCGCCCCGCAGACCAGGCAGACCGGGGATGCGAAGCCGAAGCTGGCGCTGTTGGATGAGGCAACCGAGGCGCGGTGGAATGGCCTGGATGCAGGACTGTCAAGAGGAGTTTGAATAATACTGTAAGTGTTTGGGACCAAGATGGACCAAGTGTCCCGTATACCACCTTCCAACAGGTCCCCCGTTTGGTCTCCCTTTTCGTCGATATGGCAGACTTCAAAGTCGCAACCTGGTGACGGCAGGGTGAGAGTCCTGGTATTTTCCATGATCTAGAGAGATCTGAGTTCACGTTCCAAAGTGCGCGTGCACATGCGCACATCAGAGTGCTGTAAGATTTGGACACCGAGGATTATCTCAATCCAGATAGAGACCTTTGGCGAATTTTGGCAGGAATCTGAAAGTCTGTATGACCAGGTTTTCGCTGCTTCGAACTTACCTGGCAGGTTGGCTCAGAGCCAAGTAGAGACGTGCCGTGTGCAAGGAACCATGCACAGCTTACTACTGACAGGTTCTTGAATCGACAAGGGTTTCAGGATGGCTTTTCGGTGTTTGAAAAACACGTTTAAACGAAAAGTGTTTATAAAACCCTAAACTAAATCCTAAAACCATCTAAAACCCTAAATTATAAAGACATCTTCAACACATTGATTTCTCCGTGCTGTATCTTTCGATCCAAACTCGACCAATCGCCAGGCGGCCCTCACAGCTGCAGCCGCCGCTTTAGGCGAAGCCTTGGAGGAAGGAGCCGGCGCCTCGCAGCCCGAGCGGCAGGCGCCTCGCAGCGCGACAGAACGCGCCGCATCGGGCTGGTCCAGGGTGTCTACAAGGCATCTGCAAAAAAGGCACTTTTGGAGGTGGAATCCACCCTGCAACAAAGCCAGGTTTCACTGACTACAGGAATACGGAGACCCTTGTATATCAAATGTCATGAGTCATAGTAGTCCCTTTGTTCAACCACCCCCAATCATTAACTATATAGGTCAGTTTTTATGTCAATCTCCCAGTTCCGGAAGTCGTGACGGAGCTCTTCCTTTCGCAGCACCCGAGTCCCACCGGAGCCGCCGCCGGGTCGAGGAGTTGCCGGTGCCGGGCGCCTTTCTCATCCAGAGGGCCTTTTCTTCGGAGGAGCGGGGACGGAGCGGGTTGTCCGGACGGTGGAGGGATGAGCTCTGTGGCATCGGTGTGACGAAAGGAGGGAAGAAGGGGAATCAATGAGCTCGCTGTGGGTGCAGGCCGCTAGTAGGTTGGAGGCCATCGCTAGGAATAAATGAGCTCCCCAAAAGATTCCTTTGGGTACAGCCACCCTCGTTCCCTACTAAGCACGGGTCAGGTCAAGGTAGCAGCATGCATCAGCTACCGGGGACCATGTTCGAGGGGGGCAGGTGGAGACTAATCCCACCTACATTTCTGAAGTCACGCTTCGCAGTCGCCCTCGCGACTGCCCAATGGATGGAGCTCAACTGCGACTTCATTCTCATGGTCCAGTGACAACCAACAGAGGTTAAGTGACCGTCAATAGGACCCGTCACCTGGGGTACCTATTGGATAGTCTAGTTCGGGTCCTTCAACCTCTGGAATGTGCTATAGCTGCTATAGCTGCTTGGACGTCGCGGCACCGATGCACTGAAACGAGCAAGCAACAATCAAGCGGGCACGTCTCCTGAGAAGACCTTACTCCAAGCGAGGAGACACAGCTACCTGCATCGTTTCATCCTCAATCACAAGTGCGGCGAGTACTGGGGGTACCAGTGCGTAGGTTGACAAGTTGACGTAAGATTTCTGAGGTGTTGGAACATGTTGGAATCCGTTCCGCATCTTTCCGCCGATGGGGGGTTCAGGATGTTTCAGGTTTGGCCTAGCTCGGAGTCCATTTCGTGGTTCTTATCAAAACTGTTAGGTTTCCTCACCCACTGTTGCTCGATGGTGTTTTTGTCGTCGCCTGCTTTGCTTCAGCAGTCCACATTCGAACTTCGATGTTTGCCCATGGCCTCTCTGAGTAATGGGACAATCAGATGAACATCCGCTGGGAGCAACAGCCATCGAAGTTTAAACAGGTTGATGATGTTTTCCTCCCACGAGTTCACTTTAAGCAGAGCACTGGCTGGCTACCCAGCACAGCATTTTGATGCATTTGGTTGATATGTGTACACCCCTTATTTTGTGGGCATCCGGCCATCCGGTCCAGTTGGGGATCTTTGCTGCCCCCAAGCCATCCCACTCCTACTTGGCGCCTGGCGCGTGGCAGGAAGCCCAGCGCCTGGCGCGTGCGGTGACCCTGGCACATGGCGGCCGTGCCCCAAGGGTGCGGTGTGGGTCGGCCGATGCGGGCGTCCTTCCGGGACCAACGGTCCGAGCCCCTGGTTTTGGAGACGTTCCCGCGGTCAGCTCGGAGTCAAGCTTGGTCCGTTTTGATGAGGTTGAGGTAGATCATACGGATTCATACGGAAAAGCATCCCACCCACGGAAATCATCCTTTTCATCCCACACACTTTCCAAACGAGTCCACATCGAAAGGGACACCGTCCTCGCGCGCTTCGGCCTCCAATCCCAGTCGTCCGGCTCCGCGCGCGCCTCAGACTGCCGCGGAGCATCGCCGGGCGTCGCAGCACCATCGCGCGGTGCAGGTGCCGCTGGACATCCTCGCGAGGCGAGGCCGGACTTTTTGATGAATGAACACCCCCGTAATACTGCCTGAAATATGAAGCATCCATTGGTCCAATATATGAAGCCAATATGAAGCACTGTGAAGCCTCCATTTTTTCCTTCACCGCATGAAGCGGTGTTGTCAATCCAAATGATTGTTTTGTTCATCAAGACTTTACACCTGTGGGATAGCCCAAAGACATCCACAGGACTGGTGCATTAACCGATCAATGATGGGCTCTGAACAAATCCAGCGGTATTCCACGTTCTGCAGGAGGGTATATAATTATAGTCTTTATAGTCTAAACAAAGCGAAACACGTGTAGGACCTTCCAACTTCCATCCAACATGTGTTTAAATGTGTGTTTTTTCATGCTAACTATGGCTGCCTGTGTGCAATACTGTGAAACACAACCTTAGCTACCACAAGTATGAGAGCTACAAAACTATGGCAGGTCAAGGCTGACTTGATTTTGAAGGACAAGTGTCTCATACAGCATAGGTGTTAGCATTCTCATAAGCTGTACACTTCCCAACCTAGAAACACCCCCACTTTCTACGTTCGTAGTGTCTTTGTTTTTCGTCCGAGAGGTGGGCGAAGGATTTTTTAAGTGATGGGAACTTGTGATGGCCTATGTTGCCATTCTGGCACATTCTGGCTGGAACTGGTTGATGGGATCGTTCCTTTGACTTCCTGAAAGGAAAACAGGACTGCGATCGAGAGCACTGACTGGCGTCTCAACATGTCTCAAGTTTCTCATCCTAACAGATCGACGCTTCGGAAGATCTCCACATCTGCCTGAACCTTCAAAGAGGTCCAACTCGAGGATCCACCTGCAGTGTAGAGTATTACATGGGAGACCCCTTCGAAGGTGCTGGTATGTAAAACATATTATTTTGATTATAGAAATTATGACGATATATTATTTGTATCTGTTACTGTATTGGTGATTGCTCGCAGGCGTCTACGCCCACTCCTGCCAGCCCACGCTGGGCCGAAGTCTTCGGCGGTGCTGGAGGCGTCTTCGGCGCAGGAAGTCCCACTGCAGCGTAGTGACCGTTGCACAGTGGCCTTGGTAAATCGGGTTCCTTAGCAAGGAATGAGAATGGATCCTAAGGTATCTATAGTCGGGCGTCATTCTCTACTAAGCACCATGCAGTCAGCATAGAGACCTCCCAAAGAACCGCAGGAAGGTTCGGCCAGTCTCCCCACAGGGCCAGGATCCCCATTAGAAATACACACCCAAGGGATCTCCACCTCCTGGTCCTGGGGAACAGCCTTCTCAACGAGGTTCCAGGCGGGGGTTGCTATGTATGTGCGTCTACCAGCAGTTCCAAAGGGGTGCTGGGTGCTTTATGGAGGCCAGGGGTGTCGATTGATCTACCCACTATAGGGACTAAAAAGCAGTGCTTTGGAACTGATGACATACATTTTGTTAACTTATGTTGGATCAAACAACTACTTGTGCAACTTACAGTGGTTTCAGAGTAGATGGCACAGGGCCCCCAAGATCACTGTGATGGCTCGGGGGTCCACATAAACCGCCGAACTTGGGGATTGTGCCTTCGATTCTCAATCCACTGTAAATCACGAAAGCGAGCTCAGAAGGAGCTCAGCGGAAGTTGTTGTTTACGAAATATGGTGAGGCTCAACATTGAAAGGTTCAGTGAACTAATTGATTCTTTCAATTAAAGGGAGGGGTCAGCCGAGGGGGGCCCCCCCTCCCTTTTTATTGATTCTTTCAATAACCGCACCCCCTCTCAAAGGAATTGATATTTCAATTGCAGATTGAAACGTCTAAGGGGGGGGCGGCCCCCCCCTGTAAAGTGAATTGAAAGAATCTGTTCGACTCCTCCCTCGTCCTTGTGAGAACGCATACCAAATGCCTAGAAAAGACAATATGAAAGTCGAGGCTGTTTTTTTGTGTTCGGTTGACTCAGCCAACAACACTTTGCGCTCGTGGCACAAAAGCGTTGCGTTGCTGCCCTCCCTCCGCGTCCCCTTGATCCTTCCACACCCATTGCTTTCGTCCCCACTGTCCTCAAGTGGTCTAAATATCAGAGCCCTGGGATTCCTGGCCAATCATTGGTATTGAATGATCTGAATGTCCTGAACCACCGAGCTGATTTACGAAGGATCACACTACAAAACCAGGTGTGTCCCCGGACGTGTCCCATGGTCAAGCTGAAGGCTAGTGAGAGTGTTGAAGTCGTCGACTTGATGTTTTTTTCGTGACCATCTCTCATGAGGAAAGCGCCCACCGCTGAGAGTCAAAAGACTGTAAGAGGAAGGGTCTTTAGGGAATCTGAAAGAGAACTTCCTTTACGTCACTCAGGAAAAGTATAGCTGTTTAGCCTCTAGGCTTTAATAATTGTCGCCTTGCACGCATCTGCGGTAGAACAATGAGCTGGAGTCAATGCTCAAGAAAGTCTCGGAGTCAATGCTGAAGACGCAGATCGATGCCGTCTGTCCTGAGGTCCCCGGGCGGGAGGTGTCCTCCTTCCTCCGGTGCTACCGATATTTGTTGCTCGAAGAAGAGGGGAGAAGGGATGGATGGGAGCCAAGGGTACAGAGTCTCAGAGTCGTTCAATAGAGATCACAGATGCTAGGTTTTGGGGGCCCAGTCCCTACCCCTAGTGCTCACGAAATTCCAAGCAAGCCCCAATGAACTCCAATCCACAGAAATTCTGGGAGTGACTTTTGCCCTTGAAAGATCTTGCTTTGGATTTATCGCGTGGCGGTCTAATGAATGATCCTCCCCATGAATGATACGTGTTCAGTACTTTCACAAAAAAAGGACCGAAGTGCTTGGATGGTGACTGAAGCTTCCCAGTAAAAGTGGACCACCTGCCGATGCCCAATCTCTTTTTGGATGTTTTGGGATCGTTTTTTCCCACTGAAACAAGAACAGATGGAACAAGCTGAACAGTAAACGCCCGCACGCTAGAGCATCTAGAGCCACCCAAGTTGATGGAACTCCTAGTTCTGAATCTCAATGGGAGGGTGATTCATTCAGACCATTGTCATGAACCCCATGGATTCCTCATGATTCCTCCATCCTTCCATGGGAGGGCTTGTTTTTTGCATCTCCATGGCCAGTAAGAGTTCAACATGAGGGACCTTTCCCTCAAAGCCTGGTCAGACCATGTCAGGCCATCTGTTTTTCTGGACCCCCCCCCCCCCCCCGCGTGTTCGCATGGTGAAAAGGTCCGGAGAACTGGGTGGGGACTCTGCATCCACCAGGTTCGGACCTAGTCCAAGAGTCACAAAAGTATGCTTTTTAGTCCCATCCAGTGAGTGGATAATGGGCACCCCTATCCTCCATTAGGCACCCCTTTGTGACTCCTGGGTTAGACCTTTACTTTAAACTTGCGTCAGACCGTTCAACCCTGAGAACTCTTGGCTCAACGAAGCAAACGGAAGACGGTCTTTCGGGGGCCCTGACAACCACGGGACACAGACCTCGTCCTGTACACCACACACGCCCGACTCCGACCTCTAGGCCGGGGGATCTCAGTCAACCTCACTGGGATCGCTCCTTTTGCCTTTGCCCGGCAGCCCAGAATCGCACCGCGCGCGGAAGTTCCGGCGCGGTGTCCACCGCGCTCGCCACCACGAGTCATCAGCCCGAACATCAGCGCTCGAACGAAGCTGTCGCGTGGTTGGTCGCTTCACGCGTTGGACTCACACGTTCCAAGGCGAAGAGAAGCCCAACGTGCTCTCCAGCTTTTCAGCCTATTCCTTGTTGCAGCTCGCTGGCACCGGATGTAGACTGTAGACCTGAGATCTGTAATAAGATGGCCCCCGGTTTCGGGGTGTCGAATTATAGCTCCTGAGAGGTTTGTCGCGGTATTCATTAAGCACCCCTTAAAGGCCCGGGGGCTCTGGTCGTGGCTCTGGTATAGAAGAGTCTTCAATGAGAAAAAGAGATACCAGGAGTCACAAAGGGGTGCCTAATGGAGGATAGGGGTGCCCATTATCCACTCACTTAGGGACTAAAAAGCATACTTTTGTGACTCTTGGTAGATAGTTGTTGGTGGTTTCAGGTCGTTTGGAGCTCTTCCGGCGCATCAAAACATGTGTTTTTTTGCTCGCTGAAAGTCAATAGATGAGGGAGAGAACTGGTCTGAGATAAGGGTCTTTCACAGAAGGGGGGACCGCCTGCAGAGGTCCAAGCATGTCGACCGGAAGAATTAAAAAGAAAAACACATCCCTAGGCTTCCAACCACCGTTATTTTATATAAATTGGCTTTACAAGGCCGAATCCCGAGCCAACTAAGTGAGTTTGCACTACAAAACCAGGTCAACCATGTTTTACATGTTCTTGGACGTCCAGGGAACTGCTTTGAACTCGGTTGATTGACTGGTTGCTTGTGTCGGCGCGAGGCGGCCCTCCACGCTCCGCGCTCAGGCTCTACACCAACGACACCTTTGAGGGCGGCGAGACCACCTTCTTTGAGCCCGACACGGCCCTGCCAGTCTCCAACAAGCGGCTGACGCCACAGCCACTCAGATGCAACCCTTGGGCGGAGCGGCCCAAGTCTGATGATGGACCATCATGTGCCCCAATGCGTTTGTCCATCCAGATGGGTGCAGGGGTTGAAATATGTTGAAATGTTTTTGGGTCGAAACCCGCATCCTAATCCTTGAAAGGTTGACCTCCCTACTATAATAGTCTATTATTCTGTTCATTTTCGGTGGTCAACCTGGGTCATTGGTTTTGAATGGTTTTGACCCACAGCCAAATGTTTTCTATTGTTGTCTTTTCAGCTCCATGTAGAACTCAACCAGCTCGTGATTGGGGTCTCCGCCTGCGATGCGATCAAAGTGGTCTCCACCACGAGTTCACGCACGCCAACCGCGCGCTTTCGAACCACGCGTTGCGTGGCGGCGTTGGCTGCGCGTGTGAGGTGTGATCGAAGAAAGCTACGTGATGCGCTAAAGGTGGTGCCCAAAGCAGGTGATGCTTTGGTCTTTCCACATGGACTGCATCCTGGATGTGCGCCTCTTAGAGTGCTTGGAGCCTGCTTTACTGGGGATGCTTGCTTTTTGGCTTGTTGAGGACCCCAGCAACAAGATCCATAGAAAGTTCTTTTTGTAGACATTCAGGGTGTTATCCTTTGGATGTATTATCCCCCCACTACCCTTGCTTGTTGGGCAAATTGGAGGTCCCAAAACCGATGTGCTCGGTTCTTTCGTCACACTGGCCGACCGTGTGTGCCGTGCTCTTCACCGTGTGCCAGTGGCGGCGTGATCAGGTCATCCCAGCCCTTTGCATGAAGGCTCGGAGGCCGGGTGGAGTCGAAGCTGTCGCCGGGCCGAGCGGAGGGCGGAGGAGGGCGAGATGCGTTGGGGGGGGAACGTTGCATCATGTTGTATCCTTGAATTGGTCGGTTTAAGGATGGCTCAAGGGAACATCTACAGGAAACTTAGACTTAGAGGAAACATAGTTTTTCGCGAGAAACACAGAGGTTTCCTGTAGATATTCCCTTAAACCAATTAACTGGGATGTGTTTTTTTCGCCAGCTTCTTAACCTTTGGAGTCCACCGTGACCTGTCTCAGGGGATCAGGTGCGAACCGTTGGACAGCAGAACGTGCCACGCACAGTGCGAAAGGATATATATTAATATGGTACCCCCCCCCCAAAAAAAAACTATGTTCACTCAAATTAAAACTAAATTGAAAAATAATACACTATTGGAATTAAATCTGACGTGTATAGCAATGAAGTTAGAATTAGCTTGAAATCAAATTAAAGTTAGGCTTGCACCCAAGTAAATTAGAATCTATATTGATAGACCTTTGAATCAAAATAGAATTTACAAATAATTGAAATAGACTCAAATTTGAATTTGAATATACAAAGTATAGAGTAGAGTTGAATAGATTGGAGTGTAAGTTTAATTAGAATTGAACTGGAATTTAGTTATTTAGGGTTTGCAATTCTTTGCTTTCTGATTATGATGTACTTGCTCAACTGCATTCAATAAGAGCACTACAATTCACACCCTAAAAACAAGACATATGGTTGTGCATGGAGTTGCAATGAATTAGATTACTCCATCCAAGAACTGTTTAGTAAACACATAACCTTATGGATTTGGACATTTTTGTAGTACATAGTTAAATGAACAAATATGCTTACCAACTGCACACCAGCACTCAGAAACATAGTGTTTTTTTTTTTTGGGGGGGGCTAGCATATATATATATACTGTATATATCCCTTTGTGTTAGAAAGGATTTTCATGACAACTGATGATCTCATGGTATAACCCCATGATACTTCATGGATTTCTGGTGACCTAGTGGATGAGCAGTTATCAGTGCTTTCAGTGTCACAGATGGCTTGCATTCACCTCCTCTCCAGATGACTTGCTTGGGGTGATTAACATGTTCACTTTAAGTGAATCCCCTTCTGGGGAAGATGTGTTCCGCAGTTCCCGAAGCCAAGTCTTCCGGGTGCGTCGTGAATTGCGCGGAGGATGTCGATGTCGGTTCTTCGAAGAGGGCGTCGATGCAGGTCTTCTCTGGCGAGAAGCTGCTGATTCGAACCGACCTCATGTATCGCGTGCTTCCGGGGATAAAAGAGCCCCTCCTGGCCGTTGGCTGGCAGTGTGGATGTGAGCCGGATGTTCGGTGAATGTTCGGGGATGAGGATGTGCCTTGGTCGGGCAGAGGTATGGAGTGAAGAAAGACCCTAGGATTCCGACCACCATGAATTCGAAGGATTTCCATGGTTCGAATCCCAAACTGTTTGACAACACCAGGTCAACTGTTGTTTTGTTTAAAGATGTTGCGCTACAAAACTAGCAGACGCACGGTTTTGCTGGAAAGATGTGTTGCATAGATGGGCTTGGTGGTGGCCAGAAAGTAGTGGCCGCTGGTTGATTCATTGAGGGAATACACCCAGGATCCATGAGCGTTTGGGCTCTCTCTTTTCCTAGCTCAGGGTGGGTTGGTGGGTGGGGTGGAGCGATCTCCGTCCAACTCAGGCCGCCACCACCAAAGGCGAGAGGGCAACCTCCGGGAGGGAGTAGAGGTGGGCGTTGAAGGCGCTTAAGTGGCTTTTACCAATTTCAGGGAGTGAAGAGTGAGGAGTGAGGGTTGTGTGTAGATGTGTGATGATGTGTGTATAGATGTTTTTTGTTTGTTTACACTTTCTGATTGACGTGATTGACGTTTGATCAATCTGATGTCAATTGCTGTATATGGGGTGGAAGTACTTCAGCTCATCTGGTTTTCGCAATGGAGATCATTGCAGGGATTTGTTTGGCTTGCAAAGTCAAGCCCCTGTCCACTCGCAGATTCGATGCATGAGCCAACGTGCACAGATGCAGGTGCAGCTACTTTCCCAGATGCACATTCCATTGGAGGCACAGGAACTTCAGCAGAATCAGCAAGCACAGGTTGATGAAAAGCCAACCCTAGCGGAAGGGCGAGCCTCCAATCGAACAGAAGCTTGTGATCGACCTATATCATGCAAAGCTTCCTGTGGATCCATTCTTACATCGCGAACCTATATAGGAGGCTTTGCATTAGGTCGATCACGATACAAGTAGATTTTCATGCAGTGCAAAGACGTAGTAGCTTCCAGGGGTCACAAAGGGGTGGTGATTTGTCCCTAAGTGAGTGAGTAATGTCCCATCCTCCAATAGGCACCCCTTTGTGACTACTGGTTCAGATTCCTTATTATATTTTCGCTTCAAATCGTTCGCCAACTTGCAGCCGCCCTAAAATCGAATGGCCAATGGCTCGCGGAAAAAAAACGCCGCGTATGATTGCTAGCTTTAGCAGGGGCCGGCCAGATTGAATAAGAGCTTCTGGCCAAGGGTGGAAAGAGTTCCAATCTAGAAGCCACAATAAAAGGGCATCTCAGTCTGACTGTCCCGCTCACGACTGCTTGGCCGGCTTCTTCAGTTATCTTCATCGGGCAGAAGGCGACCAACTTTCCAAAGACGCGACGCTCACCGTTATGCGACCGTCCGGTGATGCAGATGTGGTCTTGAATTCACTGTACGCTCTTGGTTGGGTGAAACAAGGCTATGCATATGAATTCCCCATACTTGAGCCTGTAAAATGTGCCATCGCACCTCACATAGACGAGTAGGGGATTGTAGCTGGATGTCTATGGTTGATCACGGGTGCATTGGGGGAGCAAGCCTCTACTTATGGACCGGGGTACGAAGGCATCTCGGGGCGTCCCATTGCCGGTCTTGGTGCTTCCATGTGCTTCCCCCAGACGCGAAATCATCTCGACCGGTGCCGCAAAACCTAAGGATCGCTGAGAAACCCAGACCCCTCCATACCTAGATCCACCTGGTGGACCCCTAGATCCACCTCCCCTAGATCCACCTGGTGCCTCTTACGAAGATCTAGCTAGGTCTGAGGGTCAGACTTCTTCAATATGAGATAATATGAGGGTCCACTATGGTCCAGCGTTTGGGTAAAAAAACGGTTCCATGCTTTGCTTCGAAGCGAACCGAACTCATCAATCCGAAAAAATGCTGAAAAGATCTCAGGTCACTATAGGTCACTATAGGTGACTAACCACCCGCTTTTCGCCGGCTCGTTGGTCAGGAACCTGAAGGCCAGGACCCTGGCTAAGAACGCAAGAAGGTTTGGGTGAGGGGAGATGGAGTGTCCCACGATCCCCACGATCTCTGAGAGATATGTGTGATATGTGCGAAAGCTTTGATCGCTGATGGAAGCAATGGTATTTTAAGACCAACGTCATGGCGGATGTTCGTTCCACTTGGTGTTGAGCATCGATTCTGAACCTGTAAAATATACAATCAAGATCAATCAAGTGTTTTTTGGTGAGGCCCACCATTGATTGAATGCTTCAAATCCCGAAACAACCAGTGTCTGAGAACCGAAGATGTTCAGCTCCAAAACCCGTTCAACCCGTTTTTTTGAGATGGTCCACCAGAGTCTTCCAAATGTGTCAGTACGTCCTCTCTTGGAGTGGTCTACATTGTCTACATATATAATATATACCAGTCACAAAGGGGTGCCTAATGGAGGATAGGGGTGCCCATTATCCACTCACTGGATGGGACTAAAAAGCATACTTTTGTGACTCTTGGTATATATTATATATATATATATCAATCTGTCTAAATGGTATATGTATATATATATAGATGCTTCTTCACCACTCACCGAAACAGAGGTGGCCTTCAACATCCTTCAACGGTCCATGTGGAGGGTGAACGGCTGGACGGAGAGGGGGGATGGGTCGTGCCACCTGGAGCCCCAACAACACCATGTAGCTTAAGACCTCCCAGGCAGGTCAACCAAGGTTACCCGATACCACTGTACAGGAGGCATGGGGAGCGTTCAGATTCTATTGCGCACGTCGGAACATGCCTGAAACATGTCTCATGTCTTGCTGAAAACGCTTCAGGCGAGGTGAGGGTTTTCTTTTCGTCAGTTGGGTGTTTTGGAGGTGTTCATAAAAAAAGCGGTCCAACATGTGTTTTGAGTCGGACAGGTTTGGCCCTCCAAAGGCCTCCGCTGGCCTAAGCCTTCACCGTTGGAACACAACGACCTGGTTTGATTTCTGCGCTCCAGCCGCTCCAGCCTGCTTGAGCACGCTAAAGAAGGCCAGTTCATGACTTGTCACTCCTGGGATATGCCCTCCTGTAGATAGAGTTTTGCTAGACCAAGGAGATCCTAGTGGCGAGCCGCCAGATGAGGGTACGGGTGCTTGGACGGGTCAGTTGGCTGACTAGTGGATAGTAGATGGCTTGCAGGTGAATCCATGGCGAAACTATTGGTGGTGTCGAGGGGAAAGGCGGAAGACAACGTCCTTGCAATGTTGAGTTGTAGAGTCAAAGCCTGGACATGAATTCATGATCATTACCAGCAGTCACATGTCGGGGTGGTGTTTTAGTCCCATCCAGTGAGTGGATGTTCTGGGCACCCCGACTTCCTCCATTAAGCACCCCGCAATGAATCATGTTTAAGTTGCTCATCTGGCTGTGATTTCGGCCTCATGGATCGATCGGCTTAAATCCACCTAGACTCTAAGGTGCCATTCAAGCTTGGAGATCGACCCAGAAAACCATGATCAAACAAGATCAAACATCCATGGTTTTTGCATGGTTTCCGTGCGCAAAGTGAGGGAATGTGAGGGCGGGACCTGTCCGAGTGTCAGATTGGACCTGGGCCCGCCCGGGTGAGAGAGGCTGGTTGTGGAAGAATTAGGGAAAGGATCAGACCAAGCGGGAGATCCCCTAGTTTACTGGCAAACCAGACAACTAAGCAGCTTTCTGTTTGGTAATTACTGTATTATCTTAAAGTCCAAAGACCAGACAACACCGTAATTATCACACAACACCACTAGTCCAAGACCGTAATAGTCCAAAGTCCACTTTTTCGCACCACCGAAGTGTAATACGTGGAACTTCCTGAACGATCACCACTCTCGTCTTGGGACCCAACCAGGGTTCCGCCTATTTCTTCCCTGCTCTTCCCTGCTTGCTTCACCGTCTCGGTCACCCTCCGAAGGCCCCAACTCCCCCGATTCCTCGCCGCTGGAGGCGCGAGCGCAAGCGCACGCGAGCGCGAGCGCGAGCGCGAGTCGACCGGGGTGGGTGGTGGTCGGTTTCGGGTTCGGACATGGGGAGGCCATGGCCAGCACCCGACTCGAAGGTGGAATTGGGGGAGAGAGATTTGGAAGGTAGAGAACTCCCCCTAAGGTGAATGTCTTTGAGATCCAAGGCCTGAAACTCATGGCGAGTCTATACGATTTGACCTGGGAGGTCGAGTTAGACTGATCAGGTAAGCCTTTGGAACATGTTGGGACACTGGCAACTCGAGAAGCACTGGAAACTAAGCCTTAACCTTTTCGAGATTTCAATATCTTCATCCTTTTTTTTGCCTTCATCCCAAGCAAGCAAGCAACCCTGACATATACCCTGACTGTTGGAATGAATGTGAACAGTGTGAACTGTGAACCAAAACTGTGCATGCTGATCGCTTTCCTACTACGGTGAGGGCCAGGTCCCTCATCCAGGAGAAGTCAATGGGTATACACCCTGACCGTCCTGACTCACTAACTCATGAAAATGAAACATGGTCAAAAGGAAGACTTCCTTTGCAAAGAGGGGTCAGGTGAGTCAGAGTATAACTACAGTATATCCAGTATAACTTAACTTAGTACTTAACTTATATTATTGTCATAGTCATGCAAAGCCATACAAAAACCCAGAATAGGCCACCACGGAGAGTTCGCTATTTTTTAGACATGCTTTCATCATGTGCAGATCTTCAGGGTTTGCTTCGCAAGGTCAGTCCAACAGATCTTCAGGAGGACTCAGACTGGGCTGGAGGGGTGGGGATGTCCAAAGAAAGCCCTGTTGCAGTCATTTGCAGTATGCAGACATAAGTCGACTCTCTAACCAACCTCCGCAGCATCGGTTCTGAACGTCCGTGCGTCGCGATCGCCGTTGAACCAACAAGGGGGCCTACACTGCGGTGAGTTCATCGCCCTGCTTGGTTCAACGCAGCCACCCTTCCGACCTGATGGAGCCCGTCCAGATCGGGTCCCGTCTCAGGAGGAGGATGCCACGCTCAGCGACGATGAAGCGGAGGACGAAGCGAGCGAGGATGAGTCGGAGTCTGAGAGGTCCTGGGCTCTTCGCAGGACACACCGCGAGGAAGATCAAGGATTTGGACAACGACCTTGAAGCATCCCAAACCTGTTTCTGCCATTTGCTTGCGAAGACAAAGGGAGGGGGTTCATGGAAAAGCATGTCGCCCATGACACTCCATGGCCTCCTCCACGCGGTTACAAGCTTTTGGGCAGGATCAGTCCTTTGAACAACTGGCAATAACCCCTGTTTTGATCTCCTTGTTATCCTCCCTCCAACGTCCTCATGCAAGAAGATGGCATGGCTCCCTGAAACACGTCTACATGTCACAGACAAGGGCCATTATGGTCCACCATATTTGGAGGGTCACTCCTACCAGAAGACCCGTTGAGGGGTGCCAATTGGTGGTAAGAGGTATCTATGAACCGCCCCAAACGGGGTTCATACAACACCCCAAACGGGGGTCCTTCGTGGTCGACCATCCCTGACCTTCCGGCCGCCCTCCCATCCCCTTCCTGTCGGGGTTCGGATCCCAGATTGGCCATCCAAACCGACCTATAGTACCTATTGGTAGATGTGTAATGATGTGTAGATATCACACCACTTCTCATCATGACCTACTTCTCATCATGCAAAAACCATCCCAAACCCTTAGGAATCGCCCTCTCTTCGAGCTCGTTCTTCTTCAACGAACCACCGCGCGAAACCGACCCGCCCGGTGCGGCACGGTTTCCGCTCCGCTCTGAGCGGTGAGGTTGGTCTCACGACCACCCTTGCAGCCGAGCTTTGCCACTGGAAAGATCAAGGTCAGCGTCGATCCAGTCGGATGGGCCACCCGCCCGCTGCGGCGGGTGGCAAGGCCTCAACTGTTCGGTGGGTCAGGTCACCCGACGCCCTTCGACTATGCCAGGCGGACCGGGATACCCCAGTCCTATTTACGGCCACTGGCTACCTGTCTTGGGGATCGGGTGAGATGGGGTGAGAGCACGCAGCGAAAAGAACGGGCAGCGAAAAGAAACACAGACACTCCATGTCAGTTTTACCCTTGAAGCCAACTTCAAGCCATTGGGATTTACTTATCAAATTCCAATCGCAATTTGCAGGTGCCCAGTGCCCAGCATCTCATCAATATCTCGTCCAACTCATCGTGGATCCCACAAGGATTCTCGACGAAGGGGGTCGCGGTCTTTTGAATCTCGGGATGTTATTTTTTGAAGTGGTGAAACATGTTTTGATATGTGTTGTGTGGCCCGAAGAATGTCGTGCATCCGTACAAATATCTTTATAAGTAATAAAAACGTGCTTGACTGTGCGACCGGCACATCGAACTGGGGACCCAACAGCAGGGCGAACCGCTTGCTTAGGGCACCGGCGGCCGTCGCGGATCGGCGGCTCACCCCAAGCTCCATGCACTCTGAACTCCTGGTTGTGAGCCGAGCCGAGCCGGGCCAGTTGGTTTCTATAGTGTTCCAGGGCTGCCAGCAACCATCCAAACACCTGGTTTTCCCTAGCAAAAACAACATGGCTGCCATGTGTGTGAGCACCTCTATGTTTGATGCGTTCGGGCCACTGATTGTACAGGGGGCATACCCCTGATGATGAATCGGAGTTCGGCAGGTGATGCAGCGGCAGCAGGCGGTGTGGGGTGGAGAAAGAGTTGGTGGGTCTCGGCTTTGTGGCTTGGTGCATGGTGTGGATTGGTAACAGATGGTGAAAAGAGCACCTGTTGAGAGGGATGAAATACGATGAAGAACCGTCAAGCTATACGGGTCATGCGGGTCATGACCGCTGTGCAGAGTCGACCTACGAGTTGAGATGATCCACGCGAGAAGCACGCAAAGCATCGCCGCATTCGCTTGCCTAGCATTGGGTGGTGGTGGAATTGGCTGAAACACAGGATCATTCTATCAGCACCCGAGGTTTCTGCCAGGTCACCACCTGCCACCTGCCAATCTGAAGTCTCCATCCATCGGAGAGCTTTTTCCAGTCGGGTGCAGGTCGGCGGCCCATCAGATGATGTCACATACCCATCAAGTCCGTTGAGGGTGTAGTGGGCCAGTGCTGGGTTTCGTCAATGGCTCTCGGGTTGTCTTCAGACTGAAGAGGCCTGGAATCCACCTACGAGCGGTTTCACCGATGTGGACCGGAAGTGTTGCAGATGGCGAGGTTCAGAGGTTTTGATAAGCTTGGACATTCTTTTTGATCATGGCTTTAAAAATGCCAACAGTTTCAATTTTGAAGTGGATGATACAACAAGATAGATCATTAAAAAAAAGAACATAGGCAGTTCCGGTTAAAACTCTGAGAAACTCTCGGAGCTTTTCTTCCGATCCCAGAGTCGCCTGCGCGCTGACGGCGCGCCGCGCGCGCAGAGAGCGAATGTCGCCAGGCTGATGGCGAGGAGATCGTGAAGAGCAGTGGAGATGAGTCCGAGGTCGCTAGCAAGATTGACCCTTCCAGGCGGCCGCCCGTGGGTTTGTTGGACGATTGGACGAAGACCCCGTCTTGGAAGGAGCGATTGGCGTTCATGGGGTGTTTGTTGGACCGAAAAAAGGAACCTGAGGAGGGCCCTTGCAGTGTGATACACCCAGAACATGATCCATCATGATCCATCCGTATATATATCAGGAAACCGTGGATCACCTTTCATCGTTGTTCTGGGGATAATTGGTCTTCATCTTTGTATTCGGCGGGATTGGTTTTGACCTCAAGGCTTTCATTTGGTGCGTAATTCGTTGTTTCACGCCGTTGCGACCAGAGTGTCAGCGAGCTGTGGCTGCCTCAACAGATGCGCAAAAAGGCGAAGCCAACAGAGGTGGGTTGAAGAGACCGACGCCCTTCGATCTATCCCAGGCGTTCCGGGTTCCCTGGTTGTGATGGGTCCTTTTCCAGCTCACTGAAAATCACCTCTCTTAGGATTTGCGGAGTCTGGCTATCGCAAACAAGAACCCCAACAAATATAACAAATGGCGATCAGTGCAGTCAGCAGGTTGCCACTGGAGCAACGAGAGCGCTACTACATGGAGGCTGGGGTTTGGGAGGACGAGGGGGGAGTCAACCTGATCCCTGAGATTTTATCGAGCAACCATTATTTTACATTATTTTACTATATGATTGTAGAAAACCATGTCAATCATTCTTTTGATGGTCTTTGAAGGCTAGCTCTAGGGTCATCTGGTCAGTGCGCACAGCGAACACGATGCCGAACACCCCAGGGTCCGTCGACGGATAAGGCGCGCAGATCGGTCCGAAACCCGGCGCCAGGCACGTGCTCGTATCTTTGGAGAGGGAGCCAAGGTGCCCGAAGCAGAGGCCGGCCAGCGAGGTGGTGGCGCCTGGGGCGCGTTTCGGTTCGCAACAAAGACCGGGTTTTCCCCCGTCCTGGACGGCGTCCACCCTTGGTGGCTGAATGAGATCGACAGCGGGCCCCACCGTTCGGGGGAACCTCCGTTCCTGGGGCCTCTTCTTTTGGCATGGCGAATGGAGACCCATGGACACCCCTTGATCTTTAAGAGGCTATGATTAGACACCCCGAGTCAACGGGGGCTTTGGATGGCCCTGGTACCGACATTCGTTGTTGTTCGAGATACTCAGCTGAGGCAGAAGGGGTTCGGTAGGCAGCTCATTACAGTGCCCAGTTGGCTCGGGGACTTTGGAAGCCCACCGATTGTTGACCCCAATTCACCACTGCCCAGCTCGGCTCATTGGACCCTTGCAGCTACGCTTTTGACCCTCACAACTAGGGTGAAAAGGACCGGCCTCCATAAAGAGGAATTCTCACGGAACTTGGTTGGAAACCCAGTTCCCAACATGTCCCAACCATTCCCCAGTCCCAACCTCTTACTCTAGCGATGTGAAGGGTCTCAATTGCCACATATATTGGAACAATATTGGAACATCTTGGAACAACCAGGTTGGGACTGGCTTTCCAGGTCTGTCTCCACTTTGTGGCTGCATGGACCCATTGTTTGTGCCGCGCTCGTGACGACTGTGACGAATTCGGTGTCCAGAAAACACCTGAGAGGGTGTCACGCATCGCCCAAGGCGCCGGACCCACAGACCTTCCAGGTCATCCAGTTTACTTAGTTCGTGATCCATCATCGGACCGGAAGGTTTTTTTTGTGCCAAGGCCTCCGGGCCAGGGGTGTCCAACTCCTTAGAGGTGAACATGGGGGTCTATCAACCACCCCTGGCACCGGGGGGCCCTGGTATATTGTATATAATTTATATTTATAAGACCACTCGAATGGTTTCCCCCTAGTTTCTATGTGAGTTGGTGCCGCGTGAGTTGGGATCTAGGGCACCAGTGGCCCCCCGGGTGTACCACCCTGAAACCCTCCCTCAACAGGTGGCAAATCTGGAAGAGGCTGCTGCGCCGGAGGCGGCTGTTCCGAAGGGCTTGGGGCTTGAAAAGGAACGATGGAGCCGAGAGATTGGACGTCGGCCCCAAAAATTTGCCAAACGCCTCCAAGATTCATCATGGTTTATGATGAAACTCTACAATTTTCATCAAATGTCATTCAGTTTCGCTGTCAAGCTCCCTCCACCTCGCCTCTCCGTGTTTGTCTGCAGGATCCACAGACGGTCCAGCGTCGCGTGGCTTTGGAGATGAAGCTGGCGCAGGAGCCGCGTGCTCCGCGTAAGAAGCGTGCGAGCTATCGGCGCCGCGGTCCTGGTGGCGGTTCGTACTTTCTCAGAAGGTACTGGAACCTCCTGGCGCCTACACAAATAGTCTCCAATCAGCTTCTCAGAAGGTATGTGGATCCATATGTAGGGAAAGAGCATGGTGCAATGGATGGGATGGGGATGTCCCTGCATAAAAGCACCAAAAAGGGAGTATGTCAGAGTATCCAGTACAAGGAGATGCAACGCCTGAGGAGTTGGCCTTTCAATCAGGAAAGTCCCTGAGATGGAGTTTTGAGTGCCTCCCCCAAGAGATTGACCAGTGATTCCCCTTTAGACGTCGCTAGAGGTCGTTAGACTTATTTTACGTCATTCTTGTATCGTATTCCAGTATAGAAGTATCCCTAAGAATCAAGGACCCTCAAAGGTGAAGGTTTGAGGGTCCAAACCCCTGCTATGCAGGGTCAAAACCCTCCAGAAGTGGTCGGGTCCAATGATCCTTAGGGATGTATGTATATTGCCTTCAAGGGGTCGTTCAGTGGATTCGATCTGGGCCTTTTCCAGGTCTCTTCGGAGAGTCCGATCTCTTGGGTTGCGGCCATGGGCAGATGAGTCCCTATAGGAACATCCAACAGAGGTGGGTCAGAACCCGAGTTCGGCTATCCCAGTAGGGTCCCCCAGGTGTTCCGGGTCCTATTTACGGTTCTGACCCACCTCTGTTGGATGGGCCGAAAAAACCGATGGAGACGGCCCTCCGATCGTGTCGTCCTGACCCGGCGCGGGGCGGTTTGGCCTCCCTCGATGCGACTCAGTCGATGCTGAAAAACATCGGGGTGTGTATCTTAGATGATGCAGGGTCAAGCTGGAGACTCAATGGGGAGACCGCAATGACCATTGGGGTGTGTATCTTAGATGATGCAGACTCTGCGGTCTCCCTATTTATGTCTCCCTTACTGGTTTGTCCAATCCCACGCCCATTTCCTTCGTGAACCTCTCGTGGACCGAGCAGGAAACCACGCATGAAGCCACGCGCCGCGCACGAAACCCGAAACCACGCACCATGCGCCTCCACAGACGACAAAGCCTCCGATATCACAGGAGCGGATCAATGATCTCAAGGATCCTGCTTACAGCCGCGCCATCTATCCAAGATTCGGCTACGCCATGAAGTCCACCCTGGCAAGCTTGAGAGATTCCTGAGAGGTTGAGTTGGTTGTTTTGTCTTTGATGTCAGGTGGCTTAACATGTCTTAAAATGGCAAAGGGGAAGACTCAAGATCTATCCCAGAAAACTCCATGTGTGACACATTTATGCATATTTATATAAATACCGGCAGTCACAAAGGGGTGGTGTTTAGTGCCTAAGTGAGTGGATGTTCTGGGCACCCCGACTTCCTCCATGGATAGCACCCCTTTGGGACTGCTGGTATATACCATTTGATGACCCATTGGGCGGGGTGTTTTTTTGGGCGGGGTCCACACATCTGTTTGTTCGTCCAGTCAGTGTGGAGCACTGTAGAGGACCAGCCACCAATTCCACCTCTGACTGGACAGGTTTCAACAGCCCCTGGGCCGCCCAACGCCCAACCGTGCACGTCGCTCAAAAAGACCAGTGCCCAGAAACGGGCAGGTCAAAGACCAGCCAATGGGTCGCTGGATCTTCCAACTATTGGAATGCCCAATGTCGGCCTGTTTCAGGGCTGTTTTGGGGTTCTGCCATGTTCTGCCTCACTTGGCCGTTTTGGATGAAAAATAGGCAGACATGTGTCGCAGTTGGAAGAACATCGAGAGAGAAAGCACATGACAGGCGAGGCCTTGCGAGCATTGGTTGGTGTGAGACCAAATGACCATCAAACACAAAAAGTAACAATCCCTGGGGCTCCAACCATATTCTCAGGTGGTTAGACCCCCCAAATCCACCCCAACCACCTTCTCAGGAGGTGGTTGGAGCCCTAGGGAATTGTCATTCTAATTGGCCCAAAAGAATCACATGAGAAAATTGGCACATGGCAGAAGATTGGCACTCTGACTTTGGGTGTTTGTTCACTGGACCACGGTCGGATCATATAGTTGGCACGGTCCATAGACCTCGCCGCAAACGAGATCGAAAAGTGAATCCTTTGGAGAGGTCGAACTTGTTGGGGGTGTCCCATTACCTGTAACAGTCGGTAAACCAGAACATCACCTTTTGAGAAAGGATGAGAAAAGGAACCCAACCATCATCCACTGTTATAGGGAATGAGATATACCCATATTTGAGAAGCACTCGATGTTTCTTAGCTATTCCACCCCAAACACACATCCAAACACATCCACCCCCCCAAAAAAAGAAGAAAACCCCCCTGCATGGATTTACTCGTCTCGCCTCCTTTCCCTTCCCTTCACGCGTACTGCGTACCGCGCGCGCTACGGCCAGGGGGAAGGGCAAAGGGCAGCTCCAAGGACTGAATGCGACCCCGTTGGCAGCGAAGCGACGATCTCGGTAAAGCATGCCAAAAGACATGCCAAAGAGCATGCAGCCATCCACCCTGGTGACATTTTTGTAAAGCACGACCAAAGCTCATGGCAAAGCCTACTTACAAATCAGCGGTGGAAATGGAGCCAAGATGAGCCAGCCGAGTCTTGAGGGGGTCGAACATGGTCGGGCCGGTCCGGATTGGAAGAGTCTATACAGTACATTGACCCTATTTCGATTTCGGGTTACATGTTGAAACCACTTGAAACCTAGGTCTGGGGTTTGATGATCCGTTCCTAGGCCAATTCCTTGAGGAATCCCACTCGAATTGCCTGCGAGTGCATGACCCAGTCAGGTGCATGTCCTCGCCTAATGGTTGTGCTTCTTTGAGCCACAATATTCCACAATAATTTGGGTGCTGCTTTTGTTTGATAGGAAGACCGACCTGGGCCCAATAAGATAGTTTTGTAATGTTTTGTACATTTTTCCATCTATGTATTTGCGTCCTTCTGACGAAGAGGATCTATCTCTATCTCATTGCCATGGCAGTGGGGTTTAATAATCAATTGTTTGCTGGGATTTGCTGGGTCAAAGATGTTCCACGCAGGATTTATTGCGGGCTTCCAAGCAGTCCGGACTCCAAGCAAGCTCTTTTTCGGTGGCACATGGTTTGATTGGCCGGAGTCGATTGATGGATGAAGCTGAGACTGAGAAGATTGGGTCAATGGAATCTTGGATACGTGTCCCTCCCAATTTCCAACTGACGTCCACTTTCTTAAAGCAACATTGATGCGCTTTTTCTCTCAGGAAGATCTGAAAAGACCCGAGCAACAAAACTGAAAGGCTTTACAAAGGGGCCTCACGCAAATGGACATCAGACTGACCCGTCTCACGCAAGATGTAATATGATCTGAAAAGGTTCAAAACTCTTGGACATCCAGACTGACAGCAGGATGTTGCAGGATGTGGACTTCACCCCTCGATGCTCATGGAATTTGACAGCTTCAGGATTTCAGGAAGGTCTGAGAAAGGTTTTTGTCAAGGTTTGAGAAAGCGGGATCTGAAAGTCTAAACACCTGGAAAACACCTGGGTACGAGAAAGAAGTGCAGACACTTGCAATCTGACCCACTTGGCCTAGTAAGTGGAACAGTTTGGTTTTCGGGAAGACCCCTCTACAAACAGGGGGTGCCAACAGAAGGTCCATGGAACGTGAGTGGGGTTAGTTGGAGAGTTCTCCAACTTCTCCCAAGAACAATAGGTCCACCAGAACCCGACGATAAGCAGGTCTGTATTCGAGCCCTTCCTGGGCCCCTCAACTAAAGACCTAGCAGTGAGGGTGCTGGCAGATGGTGTTTGTTGCAGGGACCGACTTCACAAGCTTAAACGACACACATATACTCTCGACTAGTGACAAAGTCATGAGGCTTGAATCAGCAACTCTGCAATTTTTGTGTTCCCAAAGGCTTATGAGTAGTGGGCCACAACTACTATGTCACTGGCCCACACAAGTCCTAAGTCACCGGTCGGTAGTATATATAGATAATATATAATGTTGACACAGGATTAAGTAACCACCGCCTATTAATTAATCCCAGCTCGAGCCCCCAATACTAAACTGATTTAAAACCTGAATTCCACACGCACATGCCCCTAATATGTGTTATTCTCTACCAGAAACCTCCCCCTATTCATCAATCCCAGCTGCCCCAGAAAAGTAAAACATATAGTTTAACTATGATATAAGTCTTTAATATATTAGTTTTTCTTCTTTCTGGCTAGTATCCAGATCTTTTGGTCCCTAAAAACCTCTCTAGCAATTGGTTTTTCATGTTCCCTCATTAAAGCTCTATCAAAGTCTTCACGTTTTCTAGCTCACAAAGGGTACCCCTCTCACAGGCCTCAGTGTTCACACAGAATCATATCAACCATCATCCATCATCAGGTCATCACCTTTATTAAGGGGATCTCAAACCTTGCTGATCTTGTTGACCTTGAGGGGGGGCCCGTTGATTAATCCGGTGTTGACATTATAAGACAAAATGTTTATTTTTTGCCTGGGTTCTACTGCCCAGACAGTGCAAATCTACAATCCTCCAAAAAGGAAAACAACAATGGTATGCAAATAGAGTGCAATGCTCCACTTTCAGTGTCTCCGTGTCAGTTGCTGTCAGTTCCACCCCACCCCTGCAATTAGGAATTCTGTTTCCCAAAAGACTTTCTCGCCTCGCCCAGGCTCCGACAGACTACCGTGGTGCCATGGCAGATCCCTCGCAGGCGAAGAAGTGCACAAGTTGGAGGTGAAGAAGTGCCAGGGTTTGCGGTTTTCCGGTAAAGTTTCTTTTTGCCCCGATTCCTGCCATACCGTGGGGTGGTGACAAGCTGGTGATGAGCAGATTGCAAGCAGCATTGAAGAGCCAATGGGCCAGTTCGGAGAGAGTACACGAACTTGACCCAATGCCAGCCCCTATTGGAGCCTATTCGGACACATGAAAAAGCAAAACATACCGCTTACCAGCAACCGGTACTAGATGCTTCGCTTCGCCTGCTTCGCCATGGAGTTGGTCGCTCTACCCTGGTCGAGGGGTAGTTCGATGGTTGCAGAGCTGAGGTCATGATCGACCAGGTTCACCAGTGGATCGGCAGACAGATCAGATCGTAATGGAAAGGGATTCTGCAGATTCCCAATATCAACTCCATGTCCACTATTCTGGAAATTCTGTAATCTCTAGCTACCCATTGAACATGAAGGTGGAACCTCATTGGCCAAGCTCCAAACTGCCTTGCCCCATGCGATCTCCAGCCACCTCAGCCCGCTTGGCATTTCAGGCGCCCCTGGCGGCTCGAGCAGCCGTCTTAGAGGGGCAGGTCGGGCCGTGAAAGGAGTCCGGTCTGAGGAGTCCGGTGGCTGGAAGAGGGACGAAAACGAGCTAGGAGGCAAAGAGGAACCAACCACCAAGGACTGCTTAAAGATCATTCTTTGGTCCACCAGGAATCCGGGGGTTTGATCCAATCCCATATGCCGTTTGGTTGTTGGCCTCTGAAGTTCCTCTTTCGCCCCCCACCCCGCGGTGGCCCCGCGCACGATGGCCACTCGCACGGATGGCCACCGACCCGAAGCAGTCCAGTCCAGTCCGCTGCAGCCGCCCGCAGCGGGGCCAGACGACTCCATAGAAATTAATAGCTTCTTGTTACTACTAGTAAGGCACCTGTTACTACTAGCGAGGCACTTGTTTCTACTAGCTTATTGTTACTATTAGGCCAACGACTCGATGGAACAAACGGATGAACAATAACTAGCAGCCCCAGACACGACCTGTCTGGGACGGCCATAGGACTGCCGATCAGTCGGGGTGGTGCCAGCGGGGTCGATGGGGCAGCAGTCCTATGGCAGTCCCATGGGTCGTGTCTAGCAGCTAGTAGGTTGGAGGCCATCGCTAGTAGTCGAGGCCATGCTATCCTTAAGGGGGAGGCCCATCTCCAGTTCCAGACAGAATGGACCCCTGACCTGATCAAGACTGTGTGAACAATCTGTGTTCACCGGCCAAACCGGTGCTTTTCACCGACCAAGCCGGTGCTGAAAAGATGCTGATTGAATCTCAGATGCCAGGCTCAGTCTGCCCAGTCTGCTTGGAGGTCACTTGGGAGCATTAGGCAGGACCAGTGGAAAGAGGAGGGAGATGGATGGACCAGTGGACTCCGATTTCTTGCAAAGAGACATGATTCAGGAATTGATTGGCTTGGACACGCTTGGCCAAAGAAACATCTTGAGATCTATTTTAGAGGCTTCAAATCTTCCCAGGTTGGTCGTTGGAATCCTCCAGTCGTCGAAGAAAAAGGCAGTACGATCCCCTCAAGGAGAGTGGGAGACTTGTTCTCCCCCAAGAGATAGAAACCCTGGGATTCAAACATATTTATATTGTTTGATATGTTTTAATGGTCTTTACATGTCTACCAAACAACATCAAACAACCATTGTTTTACTCAGGGTTTTAGACTATAAAACCAGGTCGTTGTTATCTTATAATACAATGGTCTTTAAAGGCTAGGGAAAGGATCAATCTACAGGACCTACACCTCCTGCAGGATCTCCGAGACATCAAATCCTCAAATCCGGCCATTTGTGGCCAACCTTCTTATACTATCATACAATAACCCAACAACCACAATTTGGGAATTGATGTCAGTAAGGTCTGTCTTGTAGTTTTAGGCGAAGAAATCCTTTTCGATCGATGTGGGGTCACGCGATGTTTTCTGCGGCAGGAAGGCTGCGGCTGCTCTCTAGCATGCTACAGCTGGACATGGATCGAACAGAGCATGTATAGTGATCCCCAATAGCCTGTGGCATGGTTTCCCATACATATTTAGTGGGCATCTACTTGTCTATCTATTTGGGGGTCTATCTCTATGTCTTTGGGCCTTTGGGTGTCAATTTCTTTGAGCCGCCGAAAAGCTCCCCAAATGATGCGAAACGCTGGCCAAGCCGCACTCTTGGCACCTGGAGAATCCAAAAATGCCCTGACTAGCCGGTGGTTCGGGAGCGACTTTGGTGCCAGGGATGTCCATATTCACCTTTAGTTTAGGTCCAATGTAGAGGCGCCAAAGAAGGAGGCTGTGCAACTTATTGCAAGATCTTGCAATTGCTTGTCCTGGTTTTTAGTTCCCTCCTGGGTGAACTGCACTAAGGCCGCAGCAACAGCAGTCGCCGCAGCAGCCTCAACAAACCCAACAGATGCAACCCCAGCAACAACAGCAGCAGCAGCAACAACAGCAACAACAACAACAACAGCAGCAACAACAACAGCAGCAGCAAAAGCAACAACTGCAGCAACAGGTCTTACAACAGCAAGCCTTGCAGCAACAGGCTATGCAGCAACAAGCTTTGCAGCAGCAAGCCATGCAGCAACAAGCTTTGCAGCAGCAAGCAATGCAACAGCAAGCCATGCAGCAACAGGCAATGCAACAGGCCATGCAGCAGCTCTTGCTGCAGCAACAATCAATGCAGCAGCAAGCTTTGCAGGCATCGGCGTTGCAGGCTCAGGCGATGTCCGCGATGCAGCCTGATGCCATGCTTCAGGAGTGCTTGTTTTGTTGTAGCAAGATGCCAAAAGCTGTGAAGGGTTGTCAAAACTCCATTGATTTGAGTTGATGAACATCGACATGAAAGGACTCCCTGTTCCTGTCTGGCAAACCGCATTACAGAGGGTTAGCCAGAGTGACTAGGCTTACACATATAATATATATATATATAACATGCATACGGTATATATTGCCTTGATGTTTCAGGATCCTGTGGACAGGGTATAATATGGTATAATCAATAGAACAGATTGGGACTGCCCCGGCTCCCAGACATGTGAAGGGCTTGAGGCCCACCAAGTCAGGCCAGTCCCCCACTTCACCTGGACGAGAGAAACTTGCTGTACTGATGCCGGGCCCTCCACACCGATCTCTCTTGATGGATTGAATCTCCTGCTTGGCCCTCCGAGAATCGCGGGCCAATCCAAGCACTTGGTTTTGTGAAACATCTCCCAAGTTGAAGACAGAACGGATGGTTGGAAAGGGACATGTTTTTGGATTTGACACATTTAGGTGTTTGACCCCTAATCTTGATGCCATCTTGGCTGAAGATTGGCGATCGCCTTTTTGCCCCCACCCCCCACCCTCCCCCCACCCTTTGCGGGCCCAGTAGAGGGTGTGGGGGTCTAGTCGAGATTTCACACACACTTCCTTAAGCGGGTAGAATGTTAAGCTCATCCAATAAATGACTTTGCAAGCTGCCTTGTACCGGTGTTCGCGGTTGGTCGGGGTAGGCAGGAACACCAACCCTCTCTCCCACCTAGCATTAATGTGTACCTTGTCAGTTTGGACAGCTTGCTGGTAACAGGAGCAGCTGCTCCCTGGTTTAAAGTTTGGTGCTGTGCCACACAGCTTTTCCCCCCCCGCCCACCCTGAGCTGCGGAGCAGCTAAGGAAGAGGGAGGGGAGAAGGGAAGCCTGTTGGCTGAGTCCTGCATGGATGGCTTGTCCCTTCATCTTGCAAAAGGTCGGCGCGCCTGCTCTAGGTCTTGTAGTTCCTTGAATGATAGGATGGGTGAGAGGTGTGTTTCCAACGACGACTGAAGCCCAGTGTTATTTGATGGCACTGCTTTTGCTACCGCACTGTTCATGTCTCTAGTAGCAAGTGCCCAGTATGTACCGGCAGACTTTGTTTGACTGTCGGAAAAGAGTTGCTGTTCACCCTCTTCGGTTTACCCTCATGTTTCTGAAAAAAACAAAAAAACACCAAGAGAGATGATGCTCTTGGCCGTGTGGCCTCTTCATGAATGAACCGGTTGACCAACCAAATAACTAAGCAATCAACCAATCAATCAGTCAATCAATCAATTAATCAATCACCCAACCAAGCACGCAATCATGTGAGCTGCTTGCTCTTTTCCGACTGCAAATTGGGTCGCCCACTTTGGCCGCCTCCAGCAGCTCCAGACGACAAACACATGCCAAATGATTGGACCGCCGCTTGATTTAGTGGAGAACATTCAGAGCTGACTGGCCGGTTGAAAAGATCTCAATCAAAAGCCAATGCCAACTTCTGGAGCCCTTACATGGCCTTGTCCGTGCCAGCAGTGTTTGGATGATATACAGTTGTACAATGTTTTACAATGTTATACATATTGTATAATATACCAGTATACCAGCTTACCAGGCTTACCAGTGTCTTCAGTCGTGACCGAACTTTGGAGTGCCATCCACATGTTTCGTTCGGCCGAACCTTGGTGACCGAAGCAACCAGGGGTGAAGACGTTTGGTCACTTTGAAGAACTAGGTGAATGAAGGTCAACTTCCACCTGGTGACAACTCCTGAAGTTGACCAGAACTAGGTGACTAGGTCAACTGTCCTACTAGGACCAGAACTAGGTCAACTTCCACCTGGTGACTGTCCTTCCTCAGGAGCTGCCAGTGGGCCAAGGTCGACCGCAGTCGGGGAAACTCAGACCCGCTGGGTTTGATCTCGTGTGGACACACCGAAAGCATGCTGACCAACCAGAGGTTCTACTGGTTTGACAACCGTAACGGCCGACGTTTGACCATACTCTCAAGGAAAGCAGTCAATCCTGCTTGGAAACTGGCTTTGAAGCTTAGTTTCACCGCCCTGATGCGGGCACATCAGGGGAACAATAGAGATGTTCTTAAAGTATTGTTTTGTTTTATACCATCATTGTTGTTACCTTGACATGTTCATACCTTGGTTTTTCCCTTGGCACATCAGGGGACTTGACAATCGCAAAACATGTGTTTGTGAAACAGAAAAAGGGCGAGTTTGAGAGTCCATTGGAAGACCAAAAGAACAATAGAACATAGAGAGGCTACGGCTACTCGTGAATCTATATAATAGAATGTATGTATATATATAGAGATATACAGTTGTACAGATATACATACATTCTATTATACATTAGTTACAAACATATTAGTTACTTATATTTTATACAGTTGTACAGATATACATTTACAAACTTTACTTGGAAAGACTTGTATGCTGACCTGACTTGCCGAACATTCGACCTTTCTCCTTGGCTTTGCTCCACGGGTGTCCTTCACTTTTCCTGTTGCCAAAGATGAGGATGAAGAAGAGAAACAGAGAAAGCAGCAAATGTCCTGGTCTGCAAGCCATTGGTTTGCTTTGCTTCTTATGTGTTAATTGATATGAATTGTTCCCTCCAACCTCAGAATGCTCCTGCAAAATGGGATCAAACCAGTCCGAATGATTGAGTTCCTTGATGTTTTGCTTTTCCCCACCAGTCCTTTTTGGGTACATCCATCGCACACATAGCCCGGCAGGCTGGGCAGGCCACAGCAAGAGCAACTTGGACTTAAAAG